TAGCTCACAATATGATAACAAACATCTGGACATTTAAAAGGTTTTAAATGGATTCATTTATTTGCGTGGGTACCATATTTGTGGATTGAGGAAAACTTACATTTTCATGAATATTTAATTTCATGGTTTTGCCAAAGTCTGCATACAGGCCCATAGAAAAATGGTAATTCATTGAACATTTAAATTGTGTTTCACATGAACCCACGAAATCCAAAATAAAATGGTGTCCAATTTAAAAAATGAATCCACAATGATAAGTTACATACTGTTATATAACCTTTTATACATATACATGCATTAATGGGACAGTGAATTTAACCCACATTGTACTTTTCAATGGCATAATGTTTTACATCATTTCTTAGATTCTATAGGACTTTAAATTGTCGAACTTGGTGGATCTAGGGGTGTATGACAACCTCCTACACAAATAGGTTCACTCTGACCTATATTTTATGCTTCACTGATTTATGTTAGGTTTAAGTTCCAAGTTAATTTCTTTAATACTGTGCAACCTGCATTTTACTAAGAGGCAAACTATGTAATCATACATTACAAATGATTTTGTTCCTGTAGACATTCACTTTATTTTAATTTTATTGCATTAGATTTAGCATTCAAGTCAAACCAGCACATTTAGTTGTTTATTATTTTATTCTTATACTATTTGAAGTAATAATTGAAGCAATTTGTTTTCTTTTTTTTTCAGGATTGGCATCTACCAGGAGCTTCAGAAGAAATATCCTATGTATTCTGGCATGAATCTAAATCATAAAATATATACTTATTTATATACTGAACATTGACATCCATTATAAAGTGCCAAATATTAACTTTTTATTTTGTTTGGATTGTATGTAAAAAAAAATCAGCAATAAAATGACGATATTTAAGAACAAGTTTCCTCATGAATATTCTTGCATATACACAAAGTACTCCATACTTTCTATTTGTATGAGGTATTTGAAAATTTTCCAATACTGCAAATATTTTTAAACTTCAAAAAGCTTCACAAATCTTATTATTACAGGAAGGGCAAAAAGGTGTTATTATTGTGATTGGAGGTGTACCTGTATTTGGTGTAATCAACACCTTTCTTAATATTTCAACCTAAAGCCTTGAATTTCTTTTCAGAAAGTTGATATATAAAGGTGTATTGATGGTGTTTATCTCACATAATGGAAGTAGTTGGCACATTCTTTTGAACACTTCTTCTGCAATATTTTCAAAAGAGAGTTATTTTTTAAAAGCTACATGTGACATCAGTTAAATTTTGTAGATTCCTTATACTGAAAACAACAATAAATTCCCTCCTGCATCCTAAATTGTCACTACTAAGATTGAATGCTCATACTGGATTTGATCAAAAATGGCTTTAAGTGACTATTTAAATATGGCTTGACCTAGGCAGTTCCTCACAGCCAGACTTTCTGTGTTGTGTCCTATTATTATGTTCCCTGAAATTTCGGGAGCATAAGGTAATAATACAACAGGAAGCAACTGTCTGGAGCCCTATTGTTAAATGTACATTGCTGTGAACTCATAAAAGATGAGGTGTACAAGAGACACACCTGCAAACACTCTGTTTATTGGTTTAAAGTGTGACTTATATGACGAAACTTGATACATGTAATATTCATTATGTATTTGTTGAATGGGAATGTCAGTCATCTGAAACCACATGTTGATCACCAGAAATAAAATTCATACTTAAATTCCACAAAAATTCAGTCAACCAGAACAAAACCCAAACGGGTCTGGAAGTTATCATTCTACACTAATGCATAATAAATAAGCTTCAGGTCTGCAGGCATCACAAACCAAACTCCAGACAATTTTTGTCGAGCCTGCAACATTTATGTCGCAAAAGTGAGACATAGCAATTCCAGATTCCATCTTTGTCAGCGTCAACATTTAGGTTCAGTCTTTGGCTCAAGTTTTTTTGGACATCAATAACTTGGTCAACCTTCATGGAATTTTATGAAATTTAGATAGAAGCTTGACCAAAAAATAATATCCAGAGCAAAATTTAGAAAATATTTATTTTCATTTTTCCATATTTTACTAATAAATGGACTTAGTTTTTTTGTCTCGCCTTGACGGAGTCAAAAAGCGAGACATAGGTATACTGTTTCCGGCGGCGGCGTCAACAATGTATTAGTTTGTGATTAGGTCTAGTTCATGGTGAACCACTAGTGGTAGGTCAATGATATTTGGTATGCAGTTGTATTAGCATTGGCATCTCTCATTACCATGGAGATTATTTGGCTCCGCCCCCTTAGTCATGGTCTAAAAACTTTGAAAATTTTGCTAAGTTAACATGTATAAGTTTGTGATTAGGTCAATTTATGGGGAACCATTAGTGGTAGGCCAATGATATTTGGTATGCAGTTGTATAAGCATTGGCATATCTCATTTCCATGGAGATTATTTGGCTCCGCCCCCTTAGTCATGGTCTAAAAACTTTGAAAATTTTGCTAAGTTAACATGTATTAGTTTGTGATTAGGTCAGTTCAAGGGGAACCATTAGTGGTAGGCCAATGTTAATTGGTGTTCAGTTGTATAAGCATTAGCACATCTCATTTCCATGGAGAATATTTGGCCCCGCCCCCTCAGTCATGGTCTATTTACTTTGAAACTTTTGCTTAGTTTACATGTATTACTTTGTGATTAGATCAGTTTAAGATGAACTGCTAATGTTAAGTCAATGATATTTGGTGTGCAAATTTATTGGCATTTGCAAGTATCGTTTCCATGGAGATTATATAGCCCCACCCCTGATCATGGTTCATTGACTTTGAAACTTGTACATAGTTTACAAGTTAATGTTTGTGTTTAGGTTTGTTTAAAGGGAACGACTTATAATAAGTCAATGGTATTTGGTATGCAGTTGTATTAGCATTGGCACATCTCATTCCATGGAGATTGTTAAGCCATGTACCTTCAGTCATGGTTCATCGACTTTGAATATTTGCATAACTTACATGTTAAAGTTAACTGCTATTTTAATTTCAACATTTGCATTATCAAAATTACAAAAAGGCGAGACATATCTCTGTGATAACAGTTTATCTATAGTTAACATTCAGATTTAGTCTGAAGTTAAAGTTTTTTAGTCATCAATAAATTTTTTAAACCTTCATTGAATTTTATGAAATTTATATAGAAACTTGTTTATGACCAAAAGACAGTATCCAGAGCAAAATTTTGAAAATCTTCATTTTTATTTTTCCATATTATACTAATAAATGGACTAAAGGTTAACATTCAGGCTCAGTCGGAGGTCAAAGTTTTTTAGTCACCAATTACTTAGTCAAACCTTCATACATGTAGAATTTTATGAAACTTTTGCATAAGTTTTATTATGATTAAGAGATAATGTCTAAAGCAAACTTTTGAAAATATATTTTTTTCATTTTCGGTATTTTTCCAATAGATGGGCAAGACACAGGGTTCCATGGAACCCCTTACATATTTTTATGAATAATGTTTTTTTAGTCAAAAGGGCCTTAATTCCATAACAAGACCTGCACAATTATAAATCCTAGGGTCTTATTTTTGTAGCAGAACCAAGACATAGGTATTGCTTTTCCGGCAGCGTCTGCTTCAACAATTGTTAAGTTTACTATCAGCACGTCAGTTTAACGACTGAACAAAAAAGGTGTCCTCGACTTTCTCTTTTCGATGAAAATTTGCCCATTTTTAGGATTTTTTCTCAAAACACTGTCACCGGGGCAGAGATGCAAATTAATGCTTTAAAAAGATCAATCTATTATCTTTCTGTGGAATTTTCTTAGGCAGAATTAATGCTTATGCAAAAAAAAGATCCACATGTATATGCATCTGCCACAATTGACTGTTTTGTGAAAATTTGTCTATAATTTAAAAGTTTACAAATATCTCGATGCTTTATACTATGATTTATAGGTATATAATTTATATTATTTATAACAAATTTATAAGATGCATAAAATCCAAAATTATGCACTTTATTGAACTTTTAATGCCCATAGAAACGATGTAAACATTTAAAATATACCAACTTGACCTTTTTAACCTTCTCTAATGAAGAGTTCCATTTCTTTTGTTTAATTTCAACTGGGTATCCACCTGCACATGCTTGTTATGTAAGTTCTATGTTTCATGTTGAAGTTCATGCCAGCAGGTTTATAGGATAATTTCCTTTCTACCTATTATGGTGGATAGTTTTCTCATTGGCAGTCAATTCACATCTCATTTTTTTTCATTTGTAATGTCCTCTATACATTTGACATGGTTGATTACTCTTAAAATCTACCTAGTTAACCAAGGTATTTTCATGAAAAAACATATTGTGCTGTTAACTAAAATATTAAAATTACAAATGTACATGTACATATATGAACTTCTTTTATCACCAAATATGATTTATCACAAGATTGTACTTGTCATAGCAACACTGGGTGCCACTGAAATCAACAGCATTTTGATTGACTGCTATCATATCATTTATAAAGGAGTGCATATTGCATCCAAGTATATTGATTCGTTTGATGTATTTGAGCTTTTGATTTTGCCATTCAATAAGGGACTTTCCATTTTGAATTTTCCTTGAAGTTCGGTATTTTTGTTATTTTACTTTTTTCAGATGTTCATGAAACAGCATTAGACATGTTAGACTGAGTGAACAAAGCTTCAAATTTCATTTTTAAAACATAGATGCTTATTTAGCTGAATTGCAAATTACCAATAGTCTATCATATGAAGTTTTTTGTAAACTGAATAATGAAATAGTCCAAATATTTACAAGTACAACAATACACAAGTGAGTAGAGGGGGCCTTGTATTTTGCTTGCTAATGATGCATCATGGCATATCTGCAATGGTCTATCATTTGTGCATTTAATTATCCTAAAGTGGACCTATTACTCATTTGGCAAGTAGAATACATCATATTGCTTTAACCCTCACATAACAAACTATAATGCTTCATGAAAAATGAAGAAGGACCCAAATACTGATTTCTTTCGATTACAATTTAATGATATGTTACAATGATTTCAATTTCATGAAATTTATTAAATGAATAGATTTCATTCGAACATTCTCTACCAATCTTCGTGGTCTGCAGGCATATTTTTTATAAGACCCTGAATACGGCCAAGAATAATTTCATTGGTACTACGACAGTTATCTGCACCATAAGGTGGCTCAATAAACAGTGCATCAGAAATAGACAATATTTCGTCATTATTTCCTGTAAGTTGCACTGGAAGCCTGTTCTTTATCAACCACAATTTAAGTCGTTTCTTAAGACTTTCAAGTTCCTCCTCGGTGAGTAGACTTGTTTCCTTTGGTCTAAACATAGCATCTAGCTTCGCTTTTACATGTAATTCAGTATCCTCGTCAATGATAGATATTGAAGACACAGAGCTACCATTAATTATGTCCATTTTGGTTTTATCATCATTGAATGTCATCAATACAATACATTCAGACACAGGATCTATAGTATACACCCAACCTGTGTATTCAGATCCATCTTCTACTAACACGTTTACTTGTTTATATACATACTGCATCCATTCATCTGGATCTTTGATGAAAATGTTATGTGGGTCTATTTCAGTTTCATCCGACATTACAACGTCTTAGTTAAAGAATGTAATTAAACTTATATTTGATTTTCAGGTAAGTAATCTATTCACTTTCTTCTTGGTTTCAACCAAAAAAGGCAAAATGTAAAAAGCTAACTTTAGCTAGTATTTATTTGCTCAAGTCTATCAAAATTTCCTTTACAACGGACACAAGTTTAAGTCTACAAAATAGAAAAGTTAGCTTGACAAATCGAACTTGTCCATACTTTTATATTTTTCTAATAATGCTGTTTTCACTGTTAACTGATTCCTCAGAATATCGATCTGTTTAATTTGTTCGGATTGGCTTTGTTGAATTCCTGGCATTTTTTCTACAAATTCTCTAGCTTTGTCCAATTTTGTTTTCAGCTCTGTCATCTTAGTGTTTACATCTCCAGATTCTTTTTCTACACTGAAATAAATAAATATTAAAACTTATCTTTATGGCCTCGACTACAATTTTATCCAATTCTAAGTTTTTTTTAAAAACATACTTTTTTGCTTTATGTTTTTCATTTATTGCTTTATATAAATAAATTTGACCTTTAGTTTCTTGTTTAATTTATTCTAAATTGTCATTTCGGGGCCTTCTATAGCATGCTTTGCAGTATAGATTTTGCTCATTGTTGAAGGCAATAAAGTGACCTACATGTATAGTTGCTATCCTTAAATGTCATTTGGTTTCTGGTGGAGAGTTGTCTCATTGGCAATCATACTGGGCCACCAAACTAGGCAATGTTACTCAACTTAGGAGTGGGACAAGTAAAAAGTATATACATAAAACATACATGTATGCAGCTCCCTAAGGGGGAGGGGGCATATAATTATCTATTTAAATACATTTTTTTGATAATTGCATATAATTAATTGGCTTTTATTGCTGGTTAACACACATCCTAAATAAATTTCATTTGGTTTAAAGGCATTAGCATTAGCCAACCAATTGATCATTTACATCATTTGTTTTCATTTCTTTTACATCATGTACATGTCTTACGTTAACTGAAAGCAATGCATAAACTAGAGGCTCCAAGGAGCCTGTGTCGCTCACCTGATATTTTTGCTTACAATTGATGCGTGAAATAATGCAACCATTATACTTATAGTTTCAGAGATATAAGCCAAAAACTGCATTTTACCCCTATGTTCAATTTTTAGCCATGTCAGCCATGTTGGTTGGCAGGCGGGGTCATCGGACACGATCTTACTTTGCTGAACATTATTGCTGTTTACAGTTTATCTCTATCTAGAATAATATTCAAGATAATAACCAAAAACTGCAAAATTTCCTTAAAATTACCAATTCAGGGGCAGCAACCCCACAACGGGTTTTCTGATTTGTCTGAAAATTTCAGGGCAGATAGATCTTAACTTGCTGAACAATTTTACCCACATATCAGATTTGCTCTAAATGCTTTAGTTTCAGAGATATAAGCCAATAAATTGCTTTGCCGAGCGCAGTTGAATACGACCGTAGAGGTCCAACCCTGAACAGTTGGGGCAAAAATGGACACAAAATTCGCACTTGATACAGGTCTGAATTTGGATTGTAATTAAATATGTGACGCATAACAGGTTTCTGACACAGAATAACTGTAGTCAAAGAACTTAGTATTGTTTATATGATTTGAATTCATATTAAATTTTTTGCTTTTGTGCAATACACTATGCTGTTGCGAATTGACCCCCCTCAAACAAACAAAATAATTAAAGTCTGAAATGAGAAAAAATTGTCCCCCCCCCCCCCCCCCCCCCCCCCAATTTTATTCAACCCCTCCCCTCCCACCTTTTCAAAAAAAAAAATCTTTCCCTCAAGATATTGTCATAATCTCAATTCAAATTTCCAATGGAGTTTGCAACCATAATTACCCATTTAAATACATCATAAATGTCTTAAAATAGAAAATGACATACATAATCATGGCTAAAATTAATATTCCTTAAGGTGGTACCAAACAACTTGACTAAAATTAATTTGGCTCATTTAATTTTCTTAAAATTTTGACAAAATATTTACTTTGACCCTTTGACAAAAATATAATAAAATGCTCCGCTGGGCGCAGCTTGATACGACTGCAGAGGTCGAACCCTGAACAGTTGGGGCAAGTATGGACACAACATTCAAGCTTGATACAGCACTGAATTTGGATTGTGATTAAATATTTGACACAGCATACGTTTCTGACACAGAATGAATGTGGTCTAAGAACTTAAATTTTTTTAATTTACCTATTCAAACCATATCATTATTATTTGCTTTTATATATAAATCAGAAATAACCAATTTAAAATGGAAAATTATTTTAAAGAAAAAAAAAATCCCTCCCCCAAATTTTTTGAACCCCCTTATGATTCATCACCCCCAAACTCAATCCCAGCCTTCCCTTTGTGGTATGGTACCTTGCAGTACAATTTCAGAGAGATCCATACACTTACACACAAGTTAGTGTCCTGAAACTAGAAAAATGCTTGTTTTTGCCCCCTTTTGTCCCCTAATTCCTAAAATTTTGAGGCAATTACCCCCAAAATCAATCCCAGCCTTCCCTTTGTGGTATGGTACCTTGCAGTACAATTTCAGAGAGATCCATACACTTGAACACAAGTTATTGTCTGGAAACTAGAAAAATGCTTATTTTTGGCCCCTTATTCCTAAACGTTTTGGGCAATTACCCCCAAACTCAAACCCAGCTTTCTCTTTGTGATATACATGTAGAACCTTGTAGTACAATTTCATAAAGATCTATACACTTACACACAAGTTAGTGTCCTGAAACTAGAAAAATGCTTGTTTTTTGCCCCTTTTTTGTCCCCTAATTCCTAAACTTTTGAGGCAATTACCCCCAAAATCAATCCCAGCCTTTCCTTTGTGGTATGGTACCTTGCAGTACAATTTCAGAGAGATCCATACACTTGAACACAAGTTATTGTCTGGAAACTAGAAAAATGCTTATTTTTGGCCCCTTATTCCTAAACGTTTTGGGCAATTACACCCAAACTCAATTCCAGCTTTCCCTTTGTGATATGGAACCTCGAAGTACAATTTCAGAAAGATCCATACACTTCCACACAAGTTAGTATCATGAAACTAGAAAAATGCTTGTTTTTTGCCCCTTTTTTGGCCCCTAATTCCTAAAATTTTGAGGCAATTACCCCCAAAATCAATCCCAGCATTCCCTTTGTGATATGGAACCTTGTGGTACAATGTCAGAGAGATCCATACACTAACAGACAAGTTATGTCTGGAAGTTACAAAAAATGCTTAAATTTGGCCCCTTTTTGGCCCCTAATTCCTTAACTGTTGGTACCATAACCCCTAAAATCAATCCCAACCTTCCTTTTGTGGTATTGAACCATATGGTAAAATTTAATAGAGATCCATACACTTAAACTAAAGTTAGAGTGCGAAAACTAATGTGTCTTCGGACGACTACGACGCCAACGTCATACCAATATACGACCACAAAATTTTTTTGGGTCGTATAAAAATTTCAAAAAACTTGAACCACACACTTTATCGGAAATATTTCATTGGATATATAGCAGTTTGACAAACACTAATTTTGATCATTGAGAAGCTTAATATTTCCTTAACAATAGAACATGATTAAAACGTTCAGCTGATTTTTCTCCCTGTAGTGTTATGTACCACCTTAATCAGCATTTTAAATAGTAACTTCTAAAAATAAATTGACAGCTAATCACCTCAAGTCAATACAAAATTTCTTTATACATAATTTAAAAGCAGTGTAAGTGAGGTAATCCAAACATAACATTGTACTTTTAAGTGATTGTCCATTAACAAGGAAACCATTGTTTTTTCCCCCTTTTTTGCCCTTAATTCCTAAACGGTTTGAGCCATTACCCCCCCCCCCCCCTCCAAAAGCCAATTCTAACCATCCCTATGTGGTATGGAAACTTGTTGTACAATCCATACACCGTTCCACAAGTTATTGTCTGAAAACTAGAAACATTCTTATTTGGGCCCCTAATTCCTAAACTGTTAGAACCATAACCCCCAAAATCAATCCCAACCTTCCTTTTGCAGGGCTCGACAATAACGCTTGTCCAATTGTCCGGTACCAGAGGAAAAAAAGGTCGGACAAGTAAAAGCTATATCAAGCTTGTCCGACGGGACAAGTAAAATTATTCTGCAGAAAATAAATTTAATCCAACTTTGATGAACAAAGTAATTATAAACAAAAAACAAGAAAAGAAGATAAAAACAAGTATTAATTTGACATGTTTACTTGCAATCGATAATTTAAAACTGGTTCTTTGTCAGTTACTTTTTAACAGGTTCTCGGAAACCAGTCTTACTGATCCGAATATGCTGCACTTTGTAGATAAGGTAACTTTACAAGACAGTTTCTCACCAGCTCGGAAGCGATTCGGCTCCAAGTTTAATAGACAGTTTGGCACCGTAGGAGACATATTTAATAGACATAATTAATAGACAGTTTGGTAACGCAGGAGACATTTTGGGACCAAGACAAATCAGTACCTCGTTTTCCTACCTTATTCTGTTGCTTCATAATAAATACCATACCGGTAATTTTTTTAGCAAAAATATTTTTTAAATAAAAATAAAGAAATTATTTACCATAAAATTAACAAAATCATATTTGATCATATGTAGAAAAAAAACAATACTAGTACTTGCAATACGGTGACCTATAGTTGTTAATTTCTGTGTCATTTGATCTCTTGCAGAGAATTGTGTCATTGGCAATCATACCTCATCTTCTTTTTTTTATTGATTGCCTTTGAATCAACTTTTTTTCAACTTAAAAAAACAGGATACAAATCCAATACATTGGCAATCCTATCAGACGGTATCTCATGTGCAGAGTCTGATGAGACTTTGGGATTGATGAAAACTAGAACCTGAGTCCTGTGACATTACTAGATTCAGTTGTTCTCGACTCATATTTTTTAAAAGTATTGCAAAATATATGTTAAAATCAAATTCTGTTCTTTTGTTTTAATTCAATCAACTTAAAATGCAAAAAAGGTTATTATTAAGATGTTTTTTTTGGACAAGATACAATTTCATTCGGACAAGTAAGTTTTGGTATGTACTTGTCCTACTGGACAAGTTGAAAAAAAAGTTATTGTAGAGGCCTGTTTTGTAGTTAAAAACCTTGTGTTTAAATTTTATAGATTTCTATTTAACTAATACTAAAGTTACTGTCCGGAAACCAAGTGTCTTCGGACGACGACGTGATACCAATATATGACCGATATCACTGCTTGATAGAGTTCAGAAACGAAAAAAATTGCAATTTTCCAAGTTATATAGGGTATAACTCTAAAAAGGTTAGTGACTTAATGCCCAAATTCAAAGTTTTCGTTCTAAGCATTATGCATGAGTTTCATAAATTTGCATGAGGCAAACTTAAGTTAGAGTGCAGAGTGAAAAAATTTGCAATTTTTCAAGTAATAAAGGGCATAACTCTATAACAGTAAGCTACTCACTGCCCAAATTCGAAGTCTGTCTGAGAATTTTGGTTCTGAGCATTGCGTTTGAATTTCATAAAATTTATATGAAGCAAACGCAAGTTAAGACTGTGGAAATGAAAATGGGACTGATGGAACTACAGATAGAGGCAAGGGTCAAGGATAACACTTAATGCCCTCTTCATCTATGGCGGGAGGCATAAAATAAACATATTTAAACTTTTGGTATTTAGCTGAATTTTGTCTTAGATCTGCTCCTAATAACCTCCTGACATCAAGCAACAATCACTTTTTAATTAAGACATCAAATTTTTAAATTGTAATGTCAAATTTTATGGAAACTTGTGTGATTTTAAGTAATGGTGGACAAATTTGCATACAGGTGTAAATACGTCTATACTCATTAGTCTATAGGGTTACCTCCCAAGATAATACACCAATCTTGAGTTGTTTTTTATGAATGAGTTGGGTCAATCAGCATAAATTATGTCATAGAACAATGGATTTATAGTACTTCTTACTGTGGTGTAATAACATAAGCACTGTTACGAAGGAAATGTACAGGAAAGTGCACAAATAGACCTTTTCACTATTGGAAATCTGTGCGGCTTGACACAGGAATATGCGCCTCTTTAACTATTGACGTCATACAACAATCACTTTTCCATTGTGGCGTCAGATATTTTCTATTGTGTTGTCAAAATTTTACGAGAACCTTTGTGATGTCTAGTTATGGCAGACAAATACTGAAATACTATCAAATATGACAAATAGCGATAAGGTGTATTGGAAAAGTCTTTACAGCAAAGCTGCAAATAGTTTCAAAGTATGAATATTCAGTAAATATGACAAACAAAGAGACATCTGATAAACATAAGCATTAAGAAATCTTTTCCTAATGCTTTACTGGCTATTTTGGTAACTTAACGTCTTAAGAATTTAGTAAAATTTGTGGTATTTAGATCTACCAAACGTAGAACGTGCGCTTTCGAATTGCGTTTTCATCGTCTTGAAATGAACTAGCATAGAAATGTTGCTTCTGTAGTTAACCCTCATTTTGTGATTTTTTTAAAATAAAATAATACCTCTTTAACAAATCAGAAATTAAAGGTAAAAAATTTAGTTCTTGTTCGCCGGTATCCCCCATTTCCAGGGGTGGCAGAAGTAATTTCTTAGTCGTGTTTTCGTACAAATCAGATGTGGTCTGAAAAGCCAAGGGATTACTATTAATTTTTAATTAATTTTTATCACTTTTTCATAATTATTTAAATCATATTTTTACATTAACATTAAAAACAGTCTATTTTTATTACTTTAAAACTTAGACGGTGTCATGTGACTTACCAAAATAGACAAAATGGCGACCTATGAATGGTTTGTTTCCTCCCACAACTTCCAAACCGGTTAAAACATAAAAACTATCATTTAGCGGGGATGCAGGCACATATTAAAAATATTTAATTCATACTTGCTTCTATCCAAAAACTGTATGAATCAATAAACATTCAGAATACCCCACTTCTACAGTTTTTGTTTGGGGCAAAATTTTTGTCCCTATCAGGATTTGAATAGACGTATTTACACTTGTATGCAAATTTGTCCGCCATTACGTTAAATCACACAGGTTCCCGTAAACTTTGACATCATAATTCAAAACATTTGACGTCACAATTAAAAAGTGATTGTTGCCTGACGTCAAAGGGTGATTCGGAGTAGATCTAAGGTCATTCCGAGGCAAAATATAGCTAAATACCAAAAATGAAAATACGTTTATAAAGAATTTCTATTTCTTTCTGATATATACCCTCATTTTCCAGAGGCAGTCTAAATTTCCCATCATCCCGAACGGTCTCTTTTACAGGACCTACCTATTGTATTTGTTGTTAATCTGTTCTTGTCCCAGACATGCATGAAATATTTACCACTGGACGTTAAACAAACATCAATCTTTTAATTGGTGTAACATAAGGAATAAATGGCAAGTCATCATTTGGGCTAATGTAGTCAAAATTTGGGCTAATCCTCCCATTTATAGCAAATTTCAGGTATATTTTTTTAGGTCAAGTAGGATATACAAATGTATGAGATTGTAGTTCCATCGAAGATTAGAGGGTTTAATCAGTTTATTTGTACATAAGTTGACAGGTGTCAGGTTCAATTTTCATATACAGAGGTGGACAGTTTAAAATGTCAACTGATAAAAAAATACCATCTTTTTAATATCATTTGTATATTTTAATATCTATAAAAATAAGAAGATGTGGTACAAGGTCTAATCTAGGATTTTGAAGAGGGAGACGTTTCTCGTTTCAATAGTTTTGAATATTTAATCCGAGGATGTTCAAAGTCGCTGTTGTATATATTTCATTTAAAGGTCGACAGTATTAGTCCTGGGTCGTTTCAAAAATCTTGATTTTCCTTGTCAGTCGCCATTTTTGTTTACCTGTGCGACTTTTCTCCCTTATACCTATTTTGATAGCGATTTTACTTCGCTATGAAGTCAGTCGGCCAGCGAGTTTTAGCGATATCATTTTCAAAATTCCTTGGCAACTTAAATCGTCATTTCACCGGCAAGATTATAGCCTGGTGGTATGATTGCCAATGAGACAACTCTACAACAGAAACCAAATGACCTAGAAGTTAGTTACTATAGGTCACTGTACAGCCTTCAACAATTAACAAAACCCATACCATATAGCAAGCTATAAAAGTCTCAGAAATGACAAATGTAAAACCATTCAAACCAGAAAACTGACAGCCTGATTTATGTACAAAACAAAATACAAAAAACAAATGTGATATATATATACAGCAACAAACGATAACCACTGAAATATGGGCTCCTGAAATGGGACAGGCACATTTCAGAATGTGGCAGGGTTAATTAGTGTTTATTCATATGTAATAAATGGCATTCTGCTTATAACATGTATTGGCCATACAGTGTCTGCTCCCTGTTCATGACGGTGAGGTGAAATGGGATTTTGAGCAAGATGAGTCTAAATAGCACTAAATAATTTTTTAAACTATGTGCAGCATGCAGGTATAAAACAGCTAGGTCAAGATATAAAAAGTGCTTTCAAATGATTGTTCTCTTAGATTGGTTGTGGCCCTGAATTAAAGCTACCAGCTTTGTTAAAACTGTTAACTTGTGCATGCGATACTGCCTGATCTCAACTGTAAACTCATTTCCAGTAAATGGTGTAAAACCAAGTTCTTTCTTTATCAAACTAACACGCTTTTCAAATGACAGAATTTTAATACAGATTATATTTTAAAAATTATTTTTAAGTGATATGTGATATATTTTATATCAATTTACAAACACTAGTATTGATATAGACAAATTTTATCTGTAATAAACCTGTACAGGTACAAAAATTTAATTAGCCCAAATGTAAACTTGACCCCAATTTGAAAATATTTAGCCCAAATGATACCATAGGCACCCTTTCGATTAATTTACCCCAAATGTCTTGCACCCAAGATAATAGCCAAATGCAATAGTAGTATCTATGATGAAGATCAGTGGCATCCTTCTTCTGTGAAAAAACCCTAGTCATTTATCATGATTTAGTTCCCGAATGCTTTAATGAAGCGTACTTGATATTAAAAGTTTATATACAAATATACAACGAAATGTGTTTTACTTAAATATATATGATTGTACATAAATTTTATTTAAAGGTTTCCAAGGCCTAGAAACTATGATATTGAAAGAAACAGAGAACGACTTGATGGTGAAGAACCTTCTTCTCATCCATTGAAAGCAATAACTGTAAGAAATATATATTTAGGTTATATATATGTGGTAAACAATATTTTGTCACTGTTATAATCATGTAATCTGTCCTAAAATTGATATGATTATTCAGGGTGTAAATATTTTCACTTATCTTTCATGAAAATAAGTACTCCTTTGTACACATTAGTATGGACAAATCACAAAAATGATTTTATCACAAATTAAAGTACAACCATGCAACTTGTTTTCTTCTTCTTCTTCAACAAGGCTTCATCACTGAAGAATACATGTTGTTGTATATGTACGATTTGCATATAAATAGGTTTTGAAAATAAGTCCAGAGAAAAATTTTAAAGGATTTTCTTAATTTTGACTTATCATTATAGGTTGTAGATGTCAAAAAGACAGACAAGAAAGGCACAACACAATCAAAAACTGAAAAGAAACCAGTTTCCAGTTCAGTAATAAAGGATCCCCTGAGTTCCATGTTAGACCCTCTTAGTGCCTCATTAGAAGGATCAGATCCCTTATCACAGATGTCATTATCATCATCCTCATTGCCTACTACAGGAAGAAAATCTAGTTTTAAGGTAACTGTTTTGTGGATTCATTTAATTTAGTGGGTACCAATTTTAGTGGATTGAGGAAAAATTGTATTTTTGTGGATATTTGGTTTTTCGTGGATTTGCGAGTCTGTATATACAAGCCTATAGAAAATGAATACTTCATTGAACATTTAAATTTGTGGTTCACGTTAACCCACGAAATCAATGAAAATTGGCATCCAACAAATAATAATGAATTCACAGTAGTTAGAAACACTATATCATAGTAAGATGTTTCTTTTGTAATCTTTCAAAAGTATTTAAAAAAAAAAAAAACTCTTTATAAATTTTATGCGTCCGAAGGGCTTCTCTGGATTTACCTGCACCAGGAACGCTCAAAGCTGAATATTCAATAGCCAAGGATGTTTATATAAGAACCGAAAACAGTTGAAGAGCTATATGACTAAAAAGGACCTAAAAATAATAGCTAAATTCATCAATGGTCAACTTTGCCTGAGGAAGTTGAAATTGTAGTTTCTTATTAATTTCTAAAGATTTCAAAAATTCTTAAGATTTAGATTCTGATTAGATAAAAGTATGATTTATCTACTTCCTTATTATATCATTGTGATTATAATTACTTAGCATAAATTCTGGTTATCATTATAGTAGCTGATTTGGTTGTAATCAAATGAATTTGAATTGTAATAATTTTGATGCTCATAATGTTGATGGCTTTTTTCGTATGGTTGAAATGATCAGTGATTATTTCAAGGCAGTGGTGAGGTGTTTTGTTCTATTTACTTATAAACATTCATGTTTGAACATCTTAAAACCACCATGAATTTTAACCACAGGATATATTAAGGGGGTATCCAACACTTTGACTAAAACACTTTTGTCTCAATTTTCATAGAATTTTGACAAAATATTAACTTTGACCAGCTCACAAAAATATAATTTGAACCACACAATTTACAGGAATTATTTCATGGTATACATAGCAGTTTGATAAACACTAAGTTTGATCACTGAGTGGTCTCTTTATAAATAGTATTTGATTAAAACGTTCAGCTCATTTTTAAGAGTTAACTCATTAACAGGTCGTCTGTACCCCTTAATTTGAAATAGAAATTTCTTTCATATGAAAATTATACCAAGAGGAGAAAAATTATTGAAGGTTCACCAAAAAATTATTTTTGTTCTTCAACTAATTTTAAAATCAGACATGCTCTGTGGAATAAATAACAATTAATTCTATGTTGAATTAATAATAATTAGTTTAGTAGTGCTTAACTTATGGTTCAGACACTTTTCTTCACACTGAAGACAATATATTCTGGATTTCTATTTGATTTTATTATGTTGTTTGCTTGGCATATCATTGGTGTGCATTACATTTCAAAGCAACTTTTTTCTACTTGTTTTCCTTATTAAAAAATCAATTTGCATGGATCTTGTAAGTCCATGAAAAATTACGTGTAATACTTTTTGTTATGGGTCTTTCATTGTTATTTACTGTTTTCTTGTGTATTGATATGTATTACACTTTTGTGGATCTATACTTTTGCTATTCAGTTTTAAGCGTTTTTTCGTTCAAAAAATATAAATTTATCAATTTATGCTAATAAATTGCCAATACATATTTCAGGAATCAGCAGAAACAGATGGTTTAGATGAAACATTTGAACCATGGAGTGTAAAGAAATCGTCGATACTTACAAAATATTCTACATCTGAAAAATTATCAATAACCACAAGCTTCCTATCATCCTCAGATAAAGAAAAAGGTAACATGCTTAAAAATACAAATATTAAGTTATGTTTATAGTCTGTACTTTTTGTGAGATACCATGCATCTAAAATGGCAGACTAAATGCAACAAAACAAATCATGTAGGAGGGAATTTTGTAAGTGGACAAACCTTTGTTAGCAGTGATGATTCATACAAGTATTTGGTCATCTTGATCTGTATTCCATGCATGAATGAATGTTGTCTTTTTGTGTGATAGGGACAAGATCTTAGTAACTACAATTCATAGAGGAATTATTACCAATGAGCACATGATAAATAGAAATGAACGTCCAAATCAAAAATAAGGTCATCGTCTTAGCCTTTTCTCAAGAATGAGTTTGGATAGGTTTTACTCTAAAGTCACAAAAAATTTTACTAGAAAAAATACTTGTAACTCGATCAAGAACATTTCAGTATAAATTATCACTTTTTATCTTAAGATTGTTCACAAAATAACTTATACATGTATTGCAAGTCATAGAAGAAAGCAACTACAATGTCTTAGAGAAGTCATAAGATTTTATCACTGGACAAATAAGATAATTATGACTCAGATAATGATAGAAGCAAACTAGTGGGGGGGGGGGGGATAAGCTTTGTTTCCACTGCTCCATTTCTTTATTAATGTTTACAGTTGCAATGAGACCACAAACTACCACAACTGTTACCGACAAGGTTAGAAACAGACTGGAGCAACTTGATGATTTTGAAGAGGTTGGTAATTTAGATTAGGTTTTTAATCTATATTGATCTGGAGGAGTTGGGGAGGTAGGCTCTAAGTTCTTAAATTTTCTCGTAAAGAAAGATGTTATGTGAAGAAATGTTTTAGAATTAAAAAATAGCATATTTCTTAAATAAAACAGTTAAGGATGCTTACTTGTCTGAACATTGACATATGGTAAAGATACTACTTTGCAACGTCACAAGTTTGCATCCCAGAATTCCTGTTGTACTTTTTATCTATGTTGTATCTATTGTTGAAGACTATGTTGACCTATAGATGTCTTTTCTGATTGCTTGTATTGTAGGGTTGCTGTCTCACTTAAATACACCAACTTGAATGTAACTGAAATGAAATTTGTACCTAATCTGTTTTTTTTTCTTGATTGAAAAGTCAAAGTATCATATATGTAAATTTTGTTTATAAAGCTTTTAAATTTACTTTAAATTTTCATAAGATTATATGGGGCCTCAGTGACTGAGTGGTTTGTTTATCTACTGTATCACTAGCCTGTCAAACACTGAGGTTTTGACTTCTAGCTTAGATGCAATTGACTATAATCTTAATTGACTAGGATTACTAGTTTTTCTGCTGAAGGCTGTGGTTCTCTCAGTCCAGCTTCCTCCACCAATAAAAACTGGCTGCCACAAAATAGCCAATAATGCTGAAAAAGGTGTTAACACCAAAAATCAATCAATCTAAAAAATTATCATTCCTAAATCATTATTAAGACCTTTACATTTACATCTGGAAGAAAGTTTTATCACCTGTAACACTTAGAATCAACTGAAGACAGTAGATGTATAACAGAACTCTGACTCAAATATATTTATTGATTTTATTTTATTAAATAGTTATTTTGAAATATTTTTTCAGGGCTCAGTTCAAGAAATGTTGAATTTAAGTCAGCAGGATTATGTCAACAGAATAGATGAACTGAATCAAGCATTGATTGATGCTTGGCAACATGACCAAAGAGTTAAAGCTCTCAAGATTGCAATACAGGTATATATTGTTGTCTTATAATAAAAAATATCATATAAACTCCCAAAACTCAGTACCATAATTGTCTGTTTGATTGACAGGAATTATAAAAAAGGCATTTTAACACAATTTAAAAACAATACAAAATATATGAAGAAGCATTGAAATCAAACAAGTTTCTACCAACTTTTTCCTCTTGAACAAGAAAAATCCAATGAAATAAAAACAAAAATACTGTTTATCAGGAAATTGTTGTATTTACTAATGCAATTGTAGAACTAGGAACCAAAGAGTTGAAAATTGGTATTTACTGCTTCTCCATTAAGCAGGCTAATTTAGGATTGCATGTCTTCATGCAGACCTTGTAAACGAGGATGCTAAAATTCTGGCTCAGCATGTCAGTCCATTAGTTGCATTAAAAAAAAATCTCAATAATTTCTGAATTTACAATATATATACATAATATAAACATTTTTTTCTTGTAATATATAAAGCTGAAATACAACTAAGAAATATTTTTAAATGATGAAAAAGAATTAAAACATTATACGACTAACAGACTCATAAAATAACTATAATAGGGAGCATAACTTCTAGCTATTTTATTTAAGCAGCATTGACTTAAACACCAAAGTAATTTGTAAAGACACAGGCAGGTCAAAGATCATGGTTAGAGTATTGCCCCTTGGAATAATTGATTATTTGGAAAATTGCATCGTTAGCCCTCTCGTTTGTACAATTCGTGCCAGATTTTTATGAAACTTATATCATAGGTTTATATTTTAAAACTGTTTTCTTCATTTTTCAGTGCTCTAAATTGTTAGCAGATATATCAGTTTTACCATTTTATCCCAGCAAGTTTGTCCTGATTACAGACATCCTTGATACATTTGGTAAGAACAAATAATTTAGATCAAAGTACCCGGTAAGTGCTCTTTTTATTTCATGTTTAGATATATATATATAGAAATCTTCAATCAAGTTGAAAAGGTTACTTTATTTTTGTGTCTGAGTGGTCTAAGTTGTTTTGTCTACAATAATCACTAGATTGTCAACACTGAGATGGTCAGTTTGAACCCCTGTCATGGCAGGTCCGACTCTGATCTTAATAGACTTGGATTGCCAGTTTTCCTACCTAAGGTCTGTGGTTTTCTTGGTGCACTCTGGCTTCTTCGATTAATAAAAATCTGGCCACCATAATACAGCCAAGAGTGCTGAAAGTGGAGTTAAACACTAACAATAAATCAATCAAGTGAAACGTTTCAGATGCATTCAGTCCTGTTTCCTGATAATCACAAAATGGATTTTGGATATGAATAAAAGGAGATGTACTGTGTATGTAAACTTAAAACAAAAAAAGTTAGAGGTCACCCTAACTGCTTTCAAAAATGAAGAAGTGACCATACAATATATGAAGCTCTAGATTGCCATGAGTCTAGAATTCAATTCATCAGACAATACTTATGATCTTTCATCAGCACCAAATTATTTAATTATAATTAATAAAAAGCATTAGGATGTAAAATATAAACAATGACTATATTGACTTGGCACAGTCACATTAACATGTGGCTCTGTTACTTGTGTTGTGTATTTTTGTTATAATTACACCTTATATAAGAAAGCCAGATTTTGATTGGTTGATAGCCAGTGTATTTTTCATATATTCTAATATTTTTTCCTCATTTTAAACGAATTGGCCTGTTTTTCACCACTGCCGGTGAATTTGCCTCAAATACCATGGTATTTGGCATTTTGGATATTCCTTTTTTACCCTCTCCAGCATTTTCCCGCCAAATTTTTTCAGATATGACGTTACATAAAAAAAACAGCTAACGCGTACTAGTACATGTATAATTCCCGCGGTTCTATGATAATATCCTCTTATCCTCAAAATTATGTATAAACATGTTAATGAATTAGTTTCAATCCAAATCTATTCGGTGTAATTAAACAGATATATCATGTTATGGAGGGGTATTTGCGAAAAATACCAGTCTTGGGACCGAATTTCCCTCGCCTAGCAGCTGGGGAAATTATACAGTCCGTTGACTGGTATTTTTCGCAAATACCCCTCCATAACATGATATGTCTGTTCAATATTACATGACATGGGTGTTAATAAAACTTTACAAACAAATAAAAATTCTTACAAAGGTGTGAATTTTATAAAGTTTAAATCTACTGGAACCCTTCATATAATGAAATTGAATTATTAGATACAACATGAGTAGCTTTCTTTACTGTGCAGATAAAATTTGACTGTAGTTCTATTTTTTGTATTGCAGGAAGACTTGTATATGACAGACTAAAAGAGAAAGCAGTCTACATACCTGCTGGTAGTGGAGTTCCTCTTAAACTTCCAGGTAATATATCCTTTAGATATATATTTTGATCTATTTTTCTAATAAACTGAAATATTGAAGGGAATATTGCATCTTGCTACTTCTGTCTTGGATAAGTTTAAGGTAAAACGTGCAAGGCACATACATCTTTTTGAAGATTAAGAAAATAAGCTTTATAATCAATATATATTTTTTTATGTTTTTTTTTTTTGATAAAAAATATATATGCATAAATGATTTTTGCCAGTTGATACACAGAAATTAATATTAGTCTAAGGAAAATCATTTTTATCATGCAAAATAATTACATATTCATGATATTTATACATGTTGCATTCCAGATAATTTTACTCCTGACCAAGTGCCTGAGTCTGCCAAGGAGACCTGTAGAAACTGGTTCTTTAAGATAGCTTCCATTAGAGAATTAATTCCCAGATTTTATGTGGAAACAGCCATATTAAAATGTTACAGTTACCTAAATAATCAGTAAGTAGGAGAAGATTAATAAATATTTAATTACAGAACTACATACACTTTTTTCATGGAATATATCAAAATATTTTGTGCAGAACAGTATTTATAGCTGTCAATAGAATACCAAACAATTTTTTGTGTCATTTAAGGTAATTGTGGTCACGAGGTAAATGAGGAGTGACTCTTTCACCAAATTTGTAACTTTGTAATTATACATTAATTCTATTGATTTATTTCACATAGTTTTAATTTATCCATTTTAAAGAACTTTTCCCCTTTAAGGGTGTGAATGAAAGAGTTGTAGAAGGCTGCACATCAGTAAATTGCATCCAGCTGCTGCCAGTCAGACAGTAATTTTGTTTAGATGTAAAGCTTTATTTCTATTGAACGTCTGCTATGAATGTAAGATGAATATTAAAAAAATTTCTTTGTTGTTAGGGAATATACAGATGCCATAAACAGATTATGTGTTATGACCAGAGGTATAGGCGATCCACTGGTAGCTATTTATGCCAAGTGTTACCTCTGTAGGGTAAGTTAGAAGAAGTATAAGTAGTTCAGTTTTAGCTTTAAATGCCAAGTATTACCTCTGTTGGGTAATTAAAAAGAAGTATAGCATGTCCACTTGTAGCTTATTTTCCTCAGTTGGGTAATTAGATGTATCTAGGTTGTTCACTAATAGATATTTATTTAAAGTGTTATAAAATTGAGAATGGAAACTAGGAATGTGTCAAAAAGAAAACAACCGACCAAAGAGCAGAAAACAGCCCAAGGCCACCAATGGGTCTTCAACACAGCGAGAAAATCCCACACCCGGAGGTGGGCTTCAGCTGGCCCTGAATCAATAATGTATTAAAGTTCAGGGAAAATGGACGTCACACTAAACTCTAAACTAAACATACAAGACTAACAAAGGCCAGAGGTTCCTGACTTGGGACAGGCGCAAAAATGTGGCAGGTTAAACATGTTTTGTGAGATCTCAACCCTTCCCTATACCTCCAGCCAATGTGCAATATACCTATTTAGAGTAATAGAAAATGTGTAGAGATGACAGATACAGGCAGATTGCTCATGAAAACATCTAAACTTTGAGATTCAGGAATAACTATAATTTCGAAGGAAATGTACTTTTATTACTGTATTGCATCTTGTCAGTTGTGTTAAGGTCTTCAACATGAGCTAATGCTTTTTTAGCTAGATTATTATGGTCTCTAGTATCAACATAAGTAGGATTCTTCATTTGTATGCCAGACACACGTTTTGTCTACAATGATCTCATCAGTGACATTCGAATCAAAAAAGTTTGAAAGCCAAATAAAGTATGAAGTTGAAGATCTTTGAGGACCCATAATTTTGAAAAGTTTTGCAAAATACAGTTAAGGTAATCTATTCCTGGCATAGAAAAATCTAAATCCTATGTTAACAAATATCAAGTTGTGGATTAAGATATATGCACTTTATAGAAGAACTATAAAAGTGAGAAGTTTAACAGAGTATCTCGCATTTCAGTACATTGGTATGTTTTTTGAGTGATTTTGATTACATGAATAAAGTTATTTTTAAGTAATATTTATACTTCTTTGCAATTCAACCTGTTTCAGAACTTTGTAAGAAGTAAATGTTATATTTTGTGACATGTTATGTATTTTTTACATGAAAAGTTTTATTTGATTATTGAATGAATAAATGATATTTGATAAACTTCAACAATTTATCATATGTTTTTACAGGTTGGCATATTGATAGCACCTAAAACTAGAGACCATATACTACCATGCTATGAAGATTTCCTGTGCACATACTCACAGGTATTATAAGCAGGATTTTTTATAAAAAAAATATTGTTTATAAATAATTAAAAACAGACCACAAACATCTATTAGAACAAATGGACTTTATATGAGGCTGGTAAATACTATAAATGGTGCCTACAATTAAAAAATAGGTACAGTGTACTGGTCAAGGACCAGTTAACGTCACCGGTCATTTTATTCAAAAATGGATGTGTTGTGTTAAACAACAAACTGCTGATGACTTCAGACCAATATTTTTACTTTATTTGAAAATGACCGTTATGTTTAATCCTATCAAAATATCGAAATGCAGAATTTTCTGTAAATTGAACATGCCTTAGGAAGTTACATGTGTGGGGACACACGTGTTCTCCCCAGAAATTTTTGAATTGCAAAATTAAAGTCTATACATCTTTCAATACGGTGTAAATGGTTGATTTCAAATGACATAAACTTAACTTTCAGAGCAGGAAGGAGACTTTCCAAATTAACAGTCAGAGTGGCGATGTGTTTGGTTTAATTGACATACGTTCTTCTCTTCTTGCTACCCAAAAGCAAAATATAACATTAATGTCCTGATAAAATGTAAATTCTATCATTTAATGGCAAGATTAAAAAGTGACAGTGATTGGTCATCCTACCTATGAAAAGAGTAAGTTCAAAAGGGAACATACTTGGTCCAGATTATAAAGTTCAATGTTTAAAGATAAAAAAAATTTTAAGTTAATTAAAAGACATGCGAGAAAGTTGAACAGAATTAATTTTGTCAAAGTTTAATTTTAAAGCGTTGATTTTTACATTCCAAATAGGTCAAAAATAGAGATTTTTGCGAAATTTGACAATATAGTGTGTATTTTAGTCTAGGCGCCATCTTATTAACCATTGAGATGACCTACGAAGACTGCCGACAGTCACATAACCTGATATAAACATAAAAATAAATAGATAGCGACCTCGTGCCATTTGACTTTTCTAGGTCTGTTTGATTTCATGTTATAGGTTAAAAAAATAAGTTAATCATCGTTTTTACCTGTATAAGAATGATTTTTTGTGGATCAAATCGGTCAACGAAATGGTTCACCTTTGTTTCACTTTCAGTGTTGACATTCTTTTCCTTTTAATGGCTGAACACGACTAATACATGCATAACTAATCTCTAGCTTATGGGTTAAATTAAAGATCACATGAATACGGATTCAATGAGGTCGAATTAATTACTTGCAAGTGAATAATTCATCAGCGATGTTTCTTAGCTTATTTTGACAAAATTGAACCAAATTGGCTGCTAAAAGCGAATTATTATTTCCTTATTTCACTTTAATTAATAATTGAACAAAAAAAATCATATTCTAATTTTTTCATATCTCTTAGCTAATGCCCCTTTAACCAGTATATATAAAAGCGGCGAATAAACAGCAAACAGTTTGCCAAATTCAGATTATTATCAACCCATAAAAACTTAAAGACAAATAATGAAAAGAATGCAAAAAATACCTCATAGCATTTCCAATTATTTATAATTTTTAATGAAAAATTTTCTTATGAACATACAACCTGGGTGAAATATATAGCATGAGTACATTGCATTTGCAAATATTTTAACACTTGTAGGTGCAAAAGGATGCTGTTCAAAATACCTTAGCCATGCAGAAAATAGAAATGCCAAGATATCTAACATTGTTTTCGCCTGCCTTGGACTGGCTGTTACAGTGTATAGCCAATAAATCTACAGAAAAAACGCTAATGGATATCCTTGAGAAATCAAGGAAACAATGCAATAAGTAAGTTATTTTTAAAGATTTGAGAGTATAAGTTCAGGAAAATTTTAGCAATGAAACTGTGCAAGGTCAACATGTTACAATTATGATTGTAAAAAGTGGTAAGATTTAGTAAATATTTTCACACACAACTTGAAACTTAAGTGTTTTGCTTACTGCATTGATTAAAATCGGTTAAGAACAGAAATATATGTTTCCTGTGCTATGCCTTCCTACCTACCCTAATCTGAGATTATGAATGCGGTTTTTTTTTTATTGCGAAACTGATACTATAAAATTTTTTCACATCCATGAAATCATTGCCATTATTTCTGAATTTACAATACTTGTTTCCTGCCTCCTGGAAGGTAGGTAGGTAAAATATTGATTTTACATAGTCTATATAGGGTAGGTAGGAAGGCATAGCACAGGAAACATATATTTCTGTTCTTAACCGATTTTAATCAATGCAGTAAGCAAAACACTTAAGTTTCAAGTTGTGTGTGAAAATATAAATAATTGCAATCAGATTAATTAGAATTCACATTTTTGCCAGTGGTCAAGGATTCACAATAATAAATGCACACATTAATTTCTAGATTTACAATATACAAATTTATGTCACCAATATAGAATTAAGGAGATGAGGTTTGATTGCCATTGAGACAACTACCGGTATCCACCTGAGTTCAAATGAGGTGGTTGTAAGCAATTATATGCAACCGAATGGCCTTCAACAATGACAAAAAAAAACATAAAGTATAGTCGGCTATAAAAAGCCTAGACATGAAAAATGTGAAACAATTCAAACGATAAAAAACTAATGGCCTAATTTACAACAAAACAATTTACGAAAAACAAATATGACAGACTTGAACCAACGACAACCAATAAACTATATAGGCACATAAAGAATGTTGCTGGGTTAAACATGTTTGTGAGCCCTCAATCCTCCCCTAACCTGGGACAGTGGTGCAACAGCACAACATAAGAACAAATTGTAAAAATCAGTAGCAATTGGCCTATTTCAAATGATAGGTATGAGGCACAAAAACAACTGACATAAAAACCATAGAAACAAAGCACTGAAATAAGAGTACTCACAGTTACTGAAAGGTTCAATGATTTAAATTCATATTTTTTAAGTTAGGTTAAAATTAGAAGATTGGAATCAATTGCTATGCTTTGTTATGTGAATGCCATTTAGGTTTTAAAAACACATTCTTGATTTTACCTTGATTTAATGTGATCTCAATGTGAACACATCTTTAATTTTTTTTTCAGTGCTTTACTTCTGAATTCTATCATATCAGCATTTAAACCAGAATACATAGCTTCCAGATCCACACAGTTTATAGAATTAATCAGAGAATCTGAGGAAGCAGGATTTCCTAAGGTAAGTACACCATGCCCAAATTTTACAAATATTTATTCAGCACACCTCTACCCATATTCAGATATATTATTTTATGTTTTATAAAGATTATTTATTTTAATCAGAATTTGTACATTAATACAGAACAAAATTTAATTACATGCATGCCAAAGTTTAACTAAAAAAATATTGAAAAAAATTCATAGAAGAAAAGAAAAAATGATTATTTATGTTTTCTGTGTTGTAGCATTTACTAGATAGGACTCTGGGTCTATGTTTAGTGATGGCATCACCACCAGAAGAACAAAGATTACCTGTATTAAATGAAGTCTGGAAAAGTATTATCAAACTGAAAAATCCAAGTGTAAGTACAGTCATTGGTATTTTGCCATATTTTTTGTTTATAAACATGTAAAAAATTTATTATCTCTTACAAAAGTGGAATAAAATAGAGTTCTAAGGTACCAAGGGGGTATTCTAAACTCACAAGTTGAGAAAAACTGATAATGCCATGGCAAAAAAGGAAAGGTGACTTAAAAAAAAAAGTAAGTTAACAAAACACTACATAGAAAACTAAAGATTAAGCAGCACCAACCCCACCAAAAAATTGAGGTGATTTCAGGTGCTCCAGAAAGTTAAATGATTAATGCTCATGAAATAAGTCTAGAAAACACAAATCAACATTAAACATTCAAGCAGTTAAGAAGATACTACTAAGGATATTGAGAATTTTTAAATGATGGCAGTGCAGGACAGTATGAGTAAATAACCCATTGAACAGTTTGTCTACTTTACCCTGTATTTATTGCCTATAATTACGTAGTATTTTATACCACTGAAAGATTTTCTATTTTGTGGAAATATTATCTGACTTTAACCACAATTGACTTGAAAACTTTGATTTTTTTTTTACACTAAAAGTACTTGCACAAAACCAAGTCTTTAACTTTTTGTCATACCTTTGATGTATCTATGTAAAATTATTCAGCAAGAGTTTATTGTCTATGAATTAAATTGATCATTCTTTATTTTAGGATTACATAGACTGTGCAGAGGTGTGGACTGAATATGTCGTCAAACATTTTGGTGTAAGTATTTTATAAACACTTAAGTTTGATGGGGTCCTCTTTCTTCAAATGTGGAAATCATATTTTTAATTATTTCCCATGGTTTATAATAAATATCTATTTCATTTTTTGAAAGTTTTCTTTTACAGTGGTTAAATAGGTAAGTATGTTATAAATATTAGAAAAAAATTACTAAGAGCTTGGTTTATATGAACATTTTGGTTTATATTATTAGCTTTTTATCTAAAATAAGTTCATGATATATTCAGAAATGACTTGATTCCTCAAAAATTATTTTACTAATTTTTAATGCCTTGTCAAACCAAAAGTACTGTAAATTCAAAAAATTATTGTGAGGTTTTTATTAATGCAAATAATGCGACTTGGTGATAATAACAATAATAAGAACTCACATTCCGATTTTTGATACATATATCTGTATGCAGGTTTTCCTGAAATTTCAATAACTAATCTCGCTTTTTTATCCATTCCATAGCACAATAATAAATGCACTTAATAATTTCTGAATTTACAGTATCTACATCACCATTTGTAAATTGGTCCATTTAATTTTGTGTATGTAATCTCATCCGTGAATATTAGACAATTGTATAAAAAGTATAAATTATTTCAGAAAAGGGAGATAAATACAATTTTGGCGGACATTATAAAGCACATGACACCAGACAGGGTATATGAAGACTATTATCCACAGTTACAGTCTGTTGTTACTAAGATAATGTGTCATATTACCAATTTCTCTATGTTATTTTCTTTGGTAAGTACATGTATGGATGAAGATGTAATATTTTGTTAACTTAATATCTGCAATACTTTAATATATGTTCTTACTTTGTTTCTAAGTTTAAAGGTTGTGTGAGAAGGAACACAATTTGAAGTTATTTTTATATAAGGCATTCACATAACAAATATAAAAATTATACAAAATTTGATAATTTTCAAATGAAATTATTCTCAAAAATTGAAATTTAATGAAACTTAAGTTTAACAAAATGTTAAGAAAAATTACTGAATATTTTCATTTTATTGTAGGACAAATTTTTACCATTCATAGATATGTTCCAGAAGGAATCAGTCCGAGTGGATGTTTGTAAAACCATTATGGAATCTTTTAATAAGTAGGTATTATTTATGGAAGATCTCATATCTGAAAGTATTCTTCATTAACAGTATAAAAGCAAATTATTGACTAGCACTGCATGTATTGTGCCAAAATCTATTTGCTAAATTGCTTGAGCAAACTATGGAAACTGTTTATGTTGATAACTTGTATAATACATTTGATTACATCTTTTGCTTTTTCTTCTAATGGTGTGGTTTTAGTAGCTTTTGTATAGCATAAACATTAGTTTTTGTTTTACTATTAATCAGCTGAATGTATCAATGTGTAACCTAATGATGTTTCCCAGCTTCATACATAGTAAGCTATATTAATTGTTTAACTTTGGACTTTCAAATTTTGCAGTTTGTACTTAACAGATCTTTACTGTACAGATGAGGGGGGGTAGGAGGGGTCCTGATCCCGAAATCCCGGGCTTAAAAACATGGAATCCCGAGGTCCCGAATTTAAAAAAATTTAAATCCCGACATCCCGAAATTCGAAAAAAGAATTCCCGGATCCCGAAAGGATCAATCCCTAAATCCCGAGCTTAAAAACACCCGATCCCGGAGTCCCGATAAAGGTCCTACCCCCTCACAGATCTCACTTTCAAACACTTTCTTTTCTCAAAAATGTAAAATTCAGATCTACACATCCTCCAAATAAATACAACCTTAGGAGAAAATAACAAACATACAAACAGAACTTATGACCAAAAATTATTCTAATTTATGAAAAGAGCAGTTTACTATTTATTATGCAGACAAATATTTTTTTTCTTTTCAGAACACAACTAGAACCTACCAATGATCCAGTGATAGTTAATGCCCTGATGTTTATATGTAAAACTATGCATGATTCTGTTAAGTAAGTTTTATTATATTATGTATCCTTATATGGAAATCTTCCTCTTATATTTGTTTTTCAAAAATTTTACCTTACCATTAAAATCCTCCATAAAAATAAAGCCTAACTATCAATGTTTAATTTGTTTATTATGTCTCAAATTAAAATGGGGCTGATTACAGTTTATAGGATTCATTTGCATAATTTTTAATGATTATACATAGCAGACACTAGTTTTTTAACCCAAAAAATTTTAAAAATGCTTCCATATGTATACCTCACCAAAATGACTTTAGTTCTTATGATTCATTTGCACAAATTTTTAGCAGGTGAATTAATCATAAAAAATTATTTCAATGCATCACATTTTCTACACTTGAGAAGGAACAAAAAGGGGAGGTATGATAGAACCATTATTTAGCCCTTCAAATTGAAAAATAAAGTAAAATTCTTCAATCCCTTCAAAATTATATTAATTCTATAGATAGATGAATAATATGATGTAAACTAGAGGCTTCAGGTCAGAAATTCCAGTTGTGAAGTCACTATGATATATTAAACATTTTGAAATTTACATCATATTTCCCCATCAAACTCTTTAAGAATTATTATATATTAAGAAAAATGAATCACGCACACCCACTTTGTCTCTTATACTGTGGATTCATTTGTATTCATTGGATACCAATTTTCGTAGGATTCCTGGGTACAGGTGAACCACGAATTTAAGTGTTCAACAAATTATAAATTTTTCCAAGGCTTTAATGCAGACATTGGAAACAACTACGAAATCAAACATCCTAGAAAATGCAAGTTTTCCGGAGTCCATGAAAATTGGTACCCATGGAAATAAATGAATCCACAGTATAAAAAAAAAACGAATTTTTAATTAGTGTTATCTTAAAAATTAAAAGCTACATGTACATGCATTTTAAAGATGAATTATTGACTTTACACTCAACATGCCCTTATCTGTTTGTTTCTGTGCTTTAAGTCTAGATGATTATATAAACTTTACACTCAAGATGCCCTTATCTGTTTGTTTCTGTGCTTTAACTCTAGATGATTATATAAACTTTACACTCAACATGCACTTATCTGTCTATTTCAGTGCTTTAACTCTAGAGGATGAAAGGAAAATGATCAGTAACTTAATTTCTGGCTTCGTTAGGAAAATATCTTTTGGTCGTGACTTTGAACAACAATTGAGTTTCTATGTAGAAGCTAGAGCTAATTTCACTAATCTAGATATGGTTCTGATAGAGCTGGTGCAGGTATGTGTATTAATGTTAAAGTGGAAATATACTAATAACAGGTTAAGATTAAAGAAAAACCTTAAGTAATGTGAGGGTAGCAATCTCTTAAAAGCAATTAGAAAATAGTTCTGGATAGTATTTTCTATTAAACAGTTTCACATATTGCAAGTAATCTATGTTAAAAGTTAACTATATACTTTTACATTTTAATGGTTTTATTTTCAGAATGTAAATAATTTGTCAATAGATACACGAAAAGTTGTGAAAGGCAACCATTCCAGAAAAACAGGCAATTTTGTTCGGGTAAGTACATCAAAACTTATACTAGTTCAACAATACATACAAGCTGTGTTATAGGTATTATTTAATTCTGAATTTTCATATTCTGAATTTTTTATTTTCAGAAACCATCATTCTGAATTTTCATTTTCAGAAGCTTCCATTGCAAATAATATGAAATGTAATATCTTCTCAATGTTGAAACTAAATGGTGGTATACAAGCATATGAATAAAAGGATATATTGGGTATACATCAATGAGACGACAACCTAATGACAGACACAAGCAAAAGCCTTCTAGAGGTCAATATTCAAAATCAGTTTTATTGTAATAAAAACATTTTTGGCAGTAAATTTTTATACACTAATTTTTAGCTATATAGGCTACTGTTTCAACTTGTATAGGGTTTATTTGTTATCAATGTTGTAATAAGAAACCAAAAATTTCCATGGTCTTTGTCTAGGAATTATGCAAGTTTTTGATTACAGGCAGTCAAGGTCAGCATGGTCATGGCATGATCAGGGTCAATACTAATTATCATTGGCCACAAATATTTTAATTGACCAATGAGGATAAAGTGCATGCTAACTTTTAACAAGCGTCTGGTTGAACTAAATGGTGGTATACAAGCATATGAATAAAAGGATATATTGGGTATACATCAATGAGACGACAACCTAATGACAGACACAAGCAAAAGCCTTCTAGAGGTCAATATACAAATATAATTTGATAATGATTTAACATGTTTTCCCATGAGAATGATTACCGTCTTTTGGTGTGTATAAAACGCACTCATGCATATTATGCACCCCTTTTTTCGCCCTTCAAACTTGAGAAAAAAGGTTCTTCTTATGCTTAACTCACAGGGACTTACTGGAAAAATCCCAACTTGAAACTTGGTAAAATGCGTCCATTGAAAAGTTGTTTCTTTTTCAAAAACAAATTGAACTTCAGTCCTGGTTGATTACAGGATAATGAAAATATTGTTGCAGAATAAATAATTTAGCAAACAATGTTTGATTCTTTATTGTTTCAACGGATGTGTTTGATTGAGAACAACAGGAAGTTGTTTAAATGAATATCGCAGTTAGTGAATCTTGTACGGAAAACGGAATATTCTTAATTACGCAATAAATAAATAAATTGTAATATTTATGTTGATAAATTAGTGCTGAAATAAATATTAATCTCTGCTAATTTTATTTATTGTTTGTTGGTACTCACTGAATTGTTAAATCCGGATTATCACACTCTTATTGAATATCTATTAGGAAGTCTAATCATTGTCAAAACAAATCAATTGACAGATTAATTTTATTCCTTAGTCAAATTCGTACAGTTTACAAGATGGCATTGACATGTCTGCAATTATGATTTGTATGAAGGTTTTTAAAAAAATGATACAAAGGAAAAACGTGTTTGAAATCATCACTTTATTCAACTTTACAACCGTTAAAAGTCTCATGACATGTCATCACTTGATACTACGAAAGTAAAAAAACAATGGCGTTCGCTATCATCAAATGAGCGTGTTTCATTCAATTTTCATACATTAACCTTCTGTATTCCTTGTTAGAACACATATACAACGTAATAAACTCGGGAAACACCTACACTAATATGGCCATTGACAGAATCCATCATCTCTACTTTGGACATGATCAAATGCAGCTTCCGGGCGTCAACAGAGACCACCAGAAAACGCAAAAAACAACTACTGACGTATTTAAATGATTTTTATTTACATATAACATTGCAAATCAGATACAAGAAGGTACAAATAGACATTCATTTCCCTGTGTTTAAAGTAATTGCAAATGGCTGATATTTTTGTTCAAGCATATTGTTTTTCTTAAATTGTTTAACATTTCACAGCGGTATAACATGTTACTTTAATTATTCTTCCCTTAGTTTATTTATTTTGTATTTACATTGTATCATAGATCAAATTTATTTGTTCAGTGTATGTTCACTGGTGTTAATATGTCTTTTGATTGAGTTAAGCCATTTCAATTGATATTTTATAGTGTGTCTTTCTATGTTGTGATGTTACACTATTGTTTCAGATAAGGGTGAAGGTTTGGTACCATTAAAACGTTTAAACCTGCTGCAATTGTTTGTACCTGTCCTAAGTCAGGAATCTGCTGTTCAGTAGTTGTCGTTTGTTGATGTGGTTCATAAGTGTTTCTCGTTTCTCATTTTTTATATAGATTAGACCGTTGGTTTTCCTGTTTGAATGGTTTTACACTAGTAATTTTTGGGGCCCTTTATAGCTTGCTGTTCGGTGTGAGCCAAGGCTCAGTGTTGAAGACCGTACTTTGACCTATAATGGTTTACTTTTATAAATTTTGACTTGGATGGAGAGTTGTCTCATTGGCACTCATACCACATCTTCTTATATCTATGTAAAACATTACAATCATGTTTATGCTATGAAAATATTTTCCTTGAGACCACCAGGTTTCTTGGTCAGAATTCGGCCTGAAAAAAAACAGTGTAGCAAAACATAATATGCACCCCCCTTTTCAGAAAACAGTTCCTAGGGTAAAAACCTGCGTACTATACACACCTATAGACGGTAATGTAAGTTTTTCAGGTAGGAAATTTAAACAATTGTTTTTATAAAAAAAAAGATTGATAAAGCTCTTAAGAATTTCTGACAAAGAAATAGTAGGTTATGCCAAAACACATAATTAAGAGCACCTCATGATTATTCATAGCCACTTTAAAACTTCTGTTTTGTTTATTTCAAGTGCAGCTTACCAAGTTCTTTATTAAATTCCTGCCATGCTTTTGAAACTTTCTGAGTCTCTGATTGGTTTATTTTCAGGCATGTGCAGCTTATTGCTTTATTACAGTTCCATCGTTACAGTCACAGACATCACAATTACAGTTGTATCTCCTGTCAGGACAGGTGGCGTTGCTTAATCAATGTTTTAGTCAAGGTAATTAGTTGTTAAAGTAATGTTTATCATGGATATAGTCAAAATAATCAGTGCTTTACTCTATTGCAGTTATGGTACTATCAGTTAAATGATGTTTTTCATTAGACACATGTCAACAAGTCAGTGGGTGCCCTAGTAATTACTCTGTCTGTTCGGTTGTCAATCTGTCTGTCCATCTGTCAGCATGTCTATTTTGTTGAGAACACATGGTGAATTAAATCCTGGTGTCAAAATGTATGAAAATTGAACCCCGTCAACATGAAGTGCTTCTTATGCATCAGTCTCTTTGCCTCATATACAATTTGCAAGTGACTTTCAGTTTTCTAGTTGATGTTGTGTTGATCTTCAAAGTAACAAGTCATTTTTAGCTCATCTGACCTGAAAGGTCAAGTGAGCTTTTCTCATCACTTTGCGTCCGTCGTCCGTCGTCCTGCGTCCGTCGTCCGTCGTCCGTCGTCCGTCGTCCGTAAACTTTTACAAAAATCTTCTCCTCTGAAACTACTGGGCCAAATTTAACCAAACTTGGCCACAATCATCATTGGGGTATGTAGTTTTAAAAATGTGTGGCGTGACCTGGTCAACCAACCAAGATGGCCGCCACGGCTAAAAATAGAACATAGGGGTAAAATGCAGTTTTTAGCTTATAACTCAAAAACCAAAGCATAAAGAGCAAATCTGACATGGGGGTAAAATTGTTCATCAGGTCAAGATCTATCTGCCCTGAAATTTTCAGATGAATCGGACAACCCGTTATTGGGTTGCTGCCCCTGAATTGGTAATTTTAAGGAAATTTTGCTGTTTTTGGTTATTATCTTGAATATTATTATAGATAGAGATAAACTGTAAACAGCAATAATGTTCAGCAAAGTAAGATTTACAAATAAGTCAATATAACCGAAATGGTCAGTTGACCCCTTTAGGAGTAATTGCCCTTTATAGTCAATTTTTAACCATTTTTCGTAAATCTTAGTTATCTTTTACAAAAATCTTCTCCTCTGAAACAACTGGGCCAAACTAAACCAAACTTGGCCACAATCATCATTGGGGTATTTAGTTTAAAAAATGTGTGGCGTGACCCAGCCAACCAACCAAGATGGCGGCCACAGCTAAAAATAAAACATAGGGGTAAAATGCAGTTTTTGGCTTATAACTCAAAAAACCAAAGCATTTAGAGCAAATCTGACAAGAAGTAAAATTGTTTATCAGGTCAAGATCTATCTGCCCTGAAATTTTCAGATGAATTGAACAACCTGTTGTTGGGTTGCTGCCCCTGAATTGGTAATTTTAAGGAAATTTTGCTGTTTTTGGTTATTATCTTGAATATTATTGTAGATAGAGATAAACTGTTAACAGCAATAATGTTCAGCAAAGTAAGATTAACAAATAAGTCAACATGACTGAAATGGTCAGTTGACCCCTTTAGGAGTTATTGCCCTTTATAGTCAATTTTTAACAATTTTTCGTAAATCTTAGTAATCTTTTACAAAAATCTTCTCCTCTGAAACTACGTGGCCAAATTAAACCAAACTTGGCCACAATCATCATTTGGTTATCTAGTTTTAAAAATGTGTGGCGTGACCTGGTCAACCAACCAAGATGGCCGCCACGGCTAAAAATAGAACATAGGGGTAAAATGCAGTTTTTAGCTTATAACTCAAAAACCAAAGCATAAAGAGCAAATCTGACATGGGGTAAAATTGTTCATCAGGTCAAGATCTATCTGCCCTGAAATTTTCAGATGAATCGGACAACCCGTTATTGGGTTGCTGCCCCTGAATTGGTAATTTTAAGGAAATTTTGCTGTTTTTGGTTATTATCTTGAATATTATTATAGATAGAGATAAACTGTAAACAGCAATAATGTTCAGCAAAGTAAGATTTACAAATAAGTCAATATAACCGAAATGGTCAGTTGACCCCTTTAGGAGTAATTGCCCTTTATAGTCAATTTTTAACCATTTTTCGTAAATCTTAGTTATCTTTTACAAAAGTCTTCTCCTCTGAAACAACTGGGCCAAACTAAACCAAACTTGGCCACAATCATCATTGGGGTATCTAGTTTAAAAAATGTGTGGCGTGACCCAGCCAACCAACCAAGATGGCGGCCACAGCTAAAAATAAAACATAGGGGTAAAATGCAGTTTTTGGCTTATAACTCAAAAACCAAAGCATTTAGAGCAAATCTGACATGAAGTAAAATTGTTTATCAGGTCAAGATCTATCTGCCCTGAAATTTTCAGATGAATCGAACAACCTGTTGTTGGGTTGCTGCCCCTGAATTGGTAATTTTAAGGAAATTTTGCTGTTTTTGGTTATTATCTTGAATATTATTATAGATAGAGATAAACTGTTAACAGCAATAATGTTCAGCAAAGTAAGATTAACAAATAAGTCAACATGACTGAAATGGTCAGTTGACCCCTTTAGGAGTTATTGCCCTTTATAGTCAATTTTTAACAATTTTTCGTAAATCTTAGTAATCTTTTACACAAATCTTCTCCTCTGAAACTACGTGGCCAAATTAAACCAAACTTGGCCACAATCATCATTTGGTTATCTAGTTTTAAAAATGTGTGGCGTGACCTGGTCAACCAACCAAGATGGCCGCCACGGCTAAAAATAGAACATAGGGAAAATATTCAGTTTTTGGCTTTTAACTCAAAAACCAAAGCATTTAAAGCAAATCTGACATGAAGTAAAATTGTTTATCAGGTCAAGATCTATCTGCCCTGAAATTTTCAGATGAATCGGACAACCCGTTGTTGGGTTGCTGCCCCTGAATTGGTAATTTTAAGGTAATTTTGCTGTTTTTGGTTATTATCTTGAATATTATTATAGATAGAGATAAACTGTAAAAAACAATAAATGTCGGCAAAGTAAGATCTACAAATAAGTCAACATGACCGAAATTGTCAGTTGACCCCTTTAGGAGTTATTGCCCTTTATAGTCAATTTTTAACCATTTTTGTAAATCTTAGTAATCTTTTACAAAAATCTTCTCCTCTGAAACTACTGGGCCAAGTTAATTATAGATAGAGATAATTGTAAGCAGGAAAAATGTTTAGTAAATTAAGATGTACAAACACATCACCATCACCAAAACACAATTTTGTCATGAATCCATCTGCGTCCTTTATTTAATATTCACATAGACCAAGGTGAGCGACACAGGCTCTTTAGAGCCTCTAGTTTAGTCAAAGCATAAAACTGATATTATAAATATATATATGTTTGTTTTGTAGCTGATTCTTTCTTTAAAGCAGCCATATCATTAATACCAGATGTACCTAAAGATTTAACCCAAGATGGAAAGAAAAGACAATCAGAGCCTGTTTTACAGGAGTATATATGTAATTTCCTATCCACTTTACTTACTGTACCTGTAAGTATTCAGTTCATACATATAGAATAAAGGTGTAAATGAAAATAACACATTATAAATTGTGTGCATCCGAAGCACATTCTAGGATTGTTTAATCAGGAACATTGTCTAAAGCACATTTCAGGATTATTTAATCAGGAACATTGTCCAAAGCACATTTCAGGATTGTTTAATCAGGAACATTGTCCAAAGCACATTTCAGGATTGTTTAAATCAGGAACATTGTCCAAAGCACATTTCAGGATTGTTTAAATCAGGAACATTCCAAAGCACATTTCAGGATTGTTTAAATCAGGAACATTGTCCAAAGCACATTTCAGGATTGTTTAAATCAGGAACATTGTCCAAAGCACATTTCAGGATTGTTCAAATCAGGAACATTGTCCAAAGCACATTTCAGGATTGTTAATCAGGAACATTGTCCAAAGCACATTTCAGGATTGTTTAAATCAGGAACATTGTCCAAAGCACATTTCAGGATTGTTTAAATCAGGAACATTGTCCAAAGCACATTTCAGGATTGTTTAAATCAGGAACATTGTCCAAAGCACATTTCAGGATTGTTTAAATCAGGAACATTCAAACCCAACCATTAGAGCTAATTTCCTTATGCTTGTAGATTAAGACTTTGGTTGGCTTGCTTGCTTTGTTTGTATAAATGTTTGCTCAAGCAATATAAATAGGCAGAGTTAAACCTGTTTATCAAATGATCAAATTTAAGCATAATGTATGCAGGTTTAACTCCCGCCTATTTATATTGTTTGCAAATGTCAATCTTAATTACAATGATTGAGCAAACATTTACACAAACAAAGCAAGCAAGCCAACAAAAATCTTCATCTATAAGTTTTAGGAAATTAGCTCTTAGCATGTAAAATATTGATAAACTGCAACAATTATTAGTTTGTTTTATCTGTATGCATGATGTTGCTGATATTCAAAAGGTTCTATGTTTGTGTGAAGATTTAAAAAATATTGCAGCCCAAAAAATGTAAATCATTCTAAAAAATAGTTAAGTTATTCTTTTTCAGATATAGCCACTGAAGTATTAAAAGAGTATATTGTTTTTAAACAAAAAGATCATTCATTTTTAATGGAATTGATAAGAAATTGTTTTGGAAACATTTTAGTTTTTCTTAACGAAACTTAGGACTAGTCTTTTACTCTTTACATTAATGTCCATGAGTCAATAAATGGCCATTTATCATTGATTGGTATTCAGCCTATAAGTTTGTGTACAGGTGCAACTTTGAGAGACTGCATTTGACATTTCACAGGACCCATTTTTCATGGTTCACTGAATTTTTAAAGTTTTAAGACATAAATCTCATTTAAGAAAAAGCTGTCAATTGTCATATAGATAAGTGTAAGGATGCATGTGAACAAAATTTTTTTGCTTCAATGACTTTGTGGTTTAGTTCAGTTCTCTGATACTGAGGGATCTACAATTATATATATGAAAGAATGCATCCTTGAAAATATAACAGCATCTTGCCAAAATTAAGTCACTCTAACCTATATTCCTTCACGGTGCCCCCCCTTTATGGAGCTATATTTATGGTTAATCCAGACTTTTTGCCTGTTCCACTCCAAACTTTGTCTTAATTTGGGGCCAACTGGCCCTTCTTTTTCAAAATCCTGGATCTGCGTCTGAAATTAATGTTAAAGATATTATTCTTCATCTCATTACAGGACAACCCAGATTCTGGAGTACTATATTTGTTGAGAGGTTTATTAAACATTCTACAGAACTACACCAGTGACAGTGATTTTAAATCCAATATTTATGTCCGTGTATTGGCGGTGTTGTCAGCAGTGTGTCAGGAGAGTTATCCCTATCATGTAGATAAAGGTAACTAGATTAAAGTAGTTAAAAATTGAATGTAAATAATACTGAATTGGCCAATGAGTATGAGTAAAAGGAGATGTGGGGTATATGTTAAGTCAATGAACATTTTTGAAGTTTAATTTGTGGGCTTTTGAAAGTATTTTTATGCCCCTTGCCGTAGCGAAGGGGGCATTAAGTTTTACCCTTGTCTGTCTGTACATATCTTGTCCGTACGCCCCAAAGTTGGTTTCCATTCTCTAACTTAAGTTTGCCTCAACCAAATGTTATGAAACTTATACACAATACTTATTACTACAAAACTCAGATCAATAACAAATTTGGGTAGCGTCACTTTTACCGTTCTTCAGTTATGTCCTTTTATAACTTTATATGATATGCAAGAGGGGGCATCATCCACATTCCACATTTATTTGAGTTTGTGGTTGAGTACAAAGTGAACTACTTTATGTTCTATTATCAAGCCTCGAGAACATAAACATTACAATTCAAATCTTTGTTTAGGTATGACTATTCAGTAGTAACAAGGATGTAAAAGATTTCCTCATAATGTGGACCTTTTGCCAAAATTGACCTAATTAACTGTGTAAAGATCAGTTTAGCCTTTCACTTTAATGGATTGATTGATTGATTTGTGTTTAACGCCACTTTCAACACTATTGTGTTATTTCAAAGCAGTCAGTTTTTATTGGTGGAGGAAGCCGGAGTGCCCCTGAGGGAACCACGACCTTCGGTAGGAAAACTGACAATCCTAGTCAATTAAGATTGGAGTCGAGTGCACCTACTTTGTGCGGGATTCGAACTCATAACCTCAGTGTTGACAGGCTAGTGATACAGTAGTTCGACTACTGAGACCACTCGGCCACCGAAGCCCCACACTTTAATGGAAGGTGTTTCAGTCTTGTTCAAGCCATTATTAAAAGTGATGCCATGCATTCAATCTGTCATTATGTAGTAAAACTTTTCATTGATTGATTGTAGGATATTTATCAAAATTTACCTCTATCTATGACCCTTAGTAATGCTTATGATTTTAATTTATTTAGTGGATTCTAATGACTCAATGTATGGATCAGATCCTAAGTTTACAGCTGATGTTCGGGGAATCTGTAGTACACTGCTGGAGGAAGTACTCAATCATCTGAAATCATTGCACACAGCAGAGGTAACGAGTTATTAATGAAATTTTTGGGGTTTTGTTTGGTGGTGGGGGGGGGGGGAGGGGGTTGCTTTATTTATTTTCATGGTACATGTACCAATTTTGTGGATTTAGGAAAAATTGTAATCTCAAGGATACATAATTTTATAGTTTAGACAAATACTGCATACCAGCCAACAAGAAATGTATGTATTTTGTGTATTTTGTTCAATGCTTAATTTTTATCTCTTTCACTTTTACTCTTCCAAAGTCATGGCCCTTGATTTTTAAAAAAAGTTGTAAAGTTTGTGGTATAAAGGATTGAAAATTTTACAAAAAAATTGCTTTGTGACAGATAATAGAAACAGTTACAAAATTAATGAATAATGACAGTTTCTCTTGCTTATTTTTATGGGGTTTTTTTTTTGTCTCGCCTTCAACGAAAGTCGCAGTATGCGAGACATAGGGATTACTATCCGGCGGCGATGTAAACTATTTGTATAAAGATTTATATTTCAGAAGGTAGTAGACCTAGATGCTTCATACCTTGTATGCAGATACCTTATGTTATGAAGTTTTTGTCTGTTATATGTCCATTGTCCTTGACCTCATTTTCATGGTTCAGCCACTGCTTGAAAATAAATTATAGTTTTTTGGTCATCTGAATTTCTCACTTATTATGAGTAAAAGGATAACTATACTTGGTATATGGGTTCCTTGCAATGTATACATGTCCGTCAGACAGAGTTCACCTGACCTTGACCTTGGATCAGTGATCAAGGTTAAAGTTATATGTGATTGAGTCCATTTTTTTCAGATACTATAAGCAGTAGCTCAACTACATGTAATGTATGGATTCATTGATTGTAAGGGTACATGTCAGTCTGGCAGGTTTCATCTGACCTTGACCTCATGGTTCATTGGTCAATGTTAAGTTTTTGTGTTTATGGTCAGATTTTCGAATACTATAAGCAGTAGGTCAACTATATTTGGTGTATAGAATGATTGTAAGGTGAACATGTCTGTCTGGTAGGTATCATCTGACCTTGACCTAATTTTCATGGTTCATTAGTCAATGTTAAGTTTTTGTGTTTTGCTCTGTTTTTCAAATGCTATAAGCAGTTGGTCAACTATATTTGGTGTATGGAATGATTGTAAAGTGAACATGTCTATCTGGCAGGTATAAACCAACCTTGACCTCATTTTTATGGTTCTTTGGTCAATGATAAGTTTTTGTGTTTATTTTTATGCCCCCGCCATAAATACCACAAAACACAGATCAAGTTTGAATTTTGGTGGCGTCACTTTAACCGTTCTAGAGTTATGCCCCTTTATAAATGGAAAAATTGCAAAATTTTTAGTTTCCGTTCTCTAATTTTAGTTTGCTTCAACCAAATGATATGAAACTTATACACAATGCTAATTACCACAAAACACAGATCAAGATTGAATTTTGGTGGCATCACTTTAACCGTTCTAGAGTTATGCCCCTTTATAAATGGAAAAATTGCTAAATTTTTAGTTTCTGTTCTCTAACTTAAGTTTGCCTCAACCAAATGTTATGAAACTTATACACAATGCTAATTATCACAAAACACAGATCAAGTTTGAATTTTGGTGGCATCACTTTAACCGTTCTAGAGTTATGTCCCTTTATAAATGGAAAAATTGCAAAATGTTTAGTTTCTGTTCTCTAACTTAAGTTTGCCTCAACCAGATGTTATGAAACTTAAACACAATGCTTATTACCACAAAACACAGATCAAGTTTGAATTTTTGGTGGCGTCATTTTAACCGTTTTAGAGTAATGCCCCTTTATAAATGGAAAAATTACAAAATTTTTATTTTCTTCTAAATATCTAGTAATTTTTAGAATCGGAGTTATCTTCCTTTGTCCATGATTATACATTGTAGTTGAATCAACTACAATCAATGCTTTATACAATGCAATGTTTAATTTTGACTTCCACTGATAAAACACAGATCTAGTTGAATTTGGGTAGTGTCACTTTAACCATTATTGAGGTATGCCCCTTTATAAATCGAAAGATTGCAAAATTTTTAGTTTCCATTCTGTAACTTAAGTTTGCCCCAACCAAACATTATGAAACCTATACACAATATTCATTACCACAAAAATAAGATCAAGTACAAATTTTTTGTTTCCGTTTTCTAACTTTAGTTTGCCTCAACCAAATGTAATGAAACGTATACACAATGCTTATTACTACATAATACAGATTAAGTACGAAATTTGTAGGCGACACTTTTACCATTCTTCAGTTATGTCCCTTTATAAACATAAAAATTGCTGAATTTTTTAGTTTGTCTCAACCAAATGTTATAAAACTTATACACAATCGTTCTAGAGTTATGCGTGTTTGCAAATAGAAAAATTGCTGAATTTTTAGTTTCTGTTCTCTACTTAAGTTAGCCTCAACCAAATGTTATGAGACTTACAGACAATGCTTATTACCACAAAACTCAGATCAAGTTCAAATTTGGGTAGCGTCACTTTTACTGTTCTTCAGTTATGTCCCTTTATAACTATATGATATGCAAGCGGGGGCATCATCTGTGTCCACATGTGGACACTATCCACATTTATTTTTTTTTCAATTACCATAAGCAATAGGTCAACTATATTTGGTGTATGGAATAATTGTAAGTTGAACATGTCTGTCTGACAGGATTTATGTGATACTTGTAGTAAAACCTTTATCTTTAAGACTTTCAACATAAAATCAATGGCCGGTATTACAGGCAAGACATATCAGGGTGTGCACTCTTGTTTAAAAAAAAAGACATTTGGAAATGTTTACTGTTAAACTGTTGTAATCAAATAGGACAAAATTAAGGTCATGAAAAAGTCTGATTATTGCTAGTAAAGAAAACATATGGAAAATACTTCTTAAGTTTTCAATTTGTATTATCTTTACATGAAAGCCTATAATTGGTGGCATGGTACCAAAAAAATGATATGAATGATTTTTTTTCAGACATTAAGAAGACAAAGTCAGCTTGCTTTAGAACTGTTTAATACAATTGTACATCATGGTGATGTGACAAAGCCATCAATGTTTGCATTGGCTCTCAACTTATGGAACTTGGCTCAGAAACATGGGGAGTGTGATACTAAACAAACAGTAAGTTTATGTAAACAGAATCTTTTCCAATGTCATTTAGAAATATTTATGTAATATGCTTATTTATGTGCACTTTTTTATGTACATGTAGCAATTCTTGTTAAAACCTGGTTTAGTGATTTGTATCAATGTAAAACTTTTATTCAAATACTTCAATGGATTGTAATGAAGAATTTTTCAGTGCTCTATATAGTTTTGAGCACTTCCTATTTTATATCTTGGTTGAGATGAAATTTTATTTTGATGTAAAGAGTTATCAGTCTTTTGTGTTTAGGTGGGATGAAATATAGTGGGGGTAATTTAACATCATTGACTGGGTTTGAAGGAAAATTGCTGTGTTGAAAACAAAAAATAAACTGTCATCTGGAGCCAGTCTCAAAATAGTCACATAATGTCTCCCTCATGCAAATCTCTGATTTTTTTGATAAAGTTTTGGATTTTCAAATATTTTGGCCTTGAGCATCACTGAAGAGAAATTTATTGTCAAAATGCACATCTGGTGCCGAAAAATTGGTACCATTAATGTTATTGTTAACACAGTTGTTCAAAAGTCATGTTAAAGTATAGATGTATGGTACCACAAATATATATATATTATACAGTTTTTCCTCAATCCAAGTGGATTGAGGAAAAACTGTATAGAAAATATTATACATGTATAACAATCGTTACTGCGTAAGTGGATTTGTAGGTACTTAATATCATGAACACAAAATGTAACATGGTTCACATGCAAATTGAATCTTAGTTACATAAATAAAAGCAAGTATGTTGTAAAAATTCAAAACTGTGAAAAATAATTCCAAACATGAATTGACTCATCAAATCATGGATGCAGTAAAAATTAATATCTTTACTATAATGATATAGAAATAATGGAAAACTATTGTGAACAACATTTACTTGGATTTTTTTGTCCATTATAGTTCAGATAATGTGTCTTTGTTTTGATTTTTTCCTATCAGTCTTTCCTTTATGGGAAATTATACAAATATATCTATTTTTATATCATTAGACTTTGAACCTAAAACTATCATATACTGTGGATTCATTTATTTTCCTGGTTATCAATTTTCGTGGATTGAGGAAAAACTGTATTTTTGTGAATATTTGATATCGTTGTTTTTTGAAAAGCTACTTCAGTAATAGTTTAAGTACTGCATTCAAAGAAAAGGGTGGTCAAAATGCCTTAGCTTGTTAGAGCGAAAGCATTTTCCACCTCTTTTCTTCCAATGAAGTTAGGAAAAAGATTAACAGAGGCCCAGTAGCCCAGGCTACTAAATTTTGGGCTGAACCCCTAGATTTTAGCTGAAAATGTCCATAGTGCTTTCATATTGTGCTAAGTTGGAACCCTTAATTGAAATTGTTAGTGTTGACTTTAATTATTAAATGTACTATAAATATTGCTTTAAGGTGGTACCAAACACCTTGACTAAAATTAATTTGGCTCGTTTAATTTTCATAAAATTTTAACAAAATATTTACTTTGACCCTTTCACAAAAATATAAAAATTTCAGAAAACTTGAACCACATACTTTATCGGAAAAATTTCATTAGATATATAGCATTTTGACAAACACTAATTTTGATCATTGAGAAGCTTAATATTTCCTTAACAATAGAACGTGATTAAAACGTTCAGCTGATACTTACAGAGTTATCTCCCTGTAGTGGTATGTACCACATTAAATAATGTCTTTCTAATGACTTTCTTTGCAGGTAAGATCATTAGATGCAGTCAAGAAAAAAGCAGCTGTGTTGAATATCAAAGAATATACAGACTTAGTTAATAAAATGGCTTTAGAGTCGAGGACATAAATAGTCAAACTGTCAACTGTGCGAATTTTATTTTAAAACATGTGATATCTATACCTTACTCAAATTGTTTATTATTCATAAAGATATTGATTCAACAAAGTGCTAAAAATTCTTGATAGAAAACTTTTAAAGAAGAAATGTCAAACTTTTATATGGAGTTATAATATGAAACTAATAAATGATGTGCAATAATGTTACTTAGCAGTAGTCTCTATATTTTTGGAATTTTCTGTTACAGAATTTAAGAGGGTCCTTCAATTTTTTACTATTTAACCTTTTAGACCCCTTTTCTCTGATCTTTATCTATACTGACCCTTATTCACTATTCTTTATATTTCTTCACCTAATTATTCACTATTCTTTATATTTCTTCACCTAATTATTCTCTATTCTTTATATTTCTTCACCTAATTATTCACTATTCTTTATTTTTCTTCACCTAATTATTCACTATTCTTTATATTTCTTCACCTAATTATTCTCTATTCTTTATATTTCTTCACCTCATTATTCTCTATTCTTTATATTTCTTCACCTAATTATTCACTATTCTTTATTTTTTTTAGCCTATTTTTCTCTATTTTTATGTTCCATTTATGGACATTATGTTTTTCGGTCTGTGCGTCAGTTCTTTTGTCCTTTTGTTTGTTCGTTCGTTTGTCTGTCTGTTTGTTTGACCTTTCGTTCGTTCGTTCGTTCGTTTGTCTGTCTGATCGTTCGTCTGTCTGTCCCGCTTCAGGTTAAAGTTTTTCAGGTTAAATTTTTGGTCAAGGTAGTTTTTTGATGAAGTTGAAGTCCAATCAACTTGAAACTTAGTACACATGTTCCCTGTGATATGATCTTTCTAATTTTAATGCAAAATTAAGAGTTTTGACCCCAATTTCACAGTCCACTGAACATAGAAAATGATAGTGCGAGTGGGGCATCCGTGTTCTCTACACAATGGGCTATTTTGTAGCGGTGAGTTTGTATTGGTGAAGGATGCTGGAGTGCCTGTAAACAACAACCGACCTTCAGTAGGAAAACTAACAATCTTAGTCATTTAAGATTGGAGTCAAATGCACCTGCCACGTGCAGGATTCGAACTCACAACCTCAGTGTTGACAGGCTAGTGATGCAGTAGTTGAACTACTTAGACCACTCTGCCACCAAGGCCCTGTATGCGTTAGTATTATTATGGCGATTTCTGTGTCGTCGTCATCCGAAGACATTTATGTTTCCAGACAATAACTTGAGTATAAGTTTATTGATCACTATGAAATTGTACCACAAGGATCCATACCATAAAAGGAAGGTTGGGATTGATTTTGGGGGTTATGACCCTAATGATTTAGGAAAAAAGAGCCAAAAACAATACTTATGTAATACTTTGCTTAAATTGGTTATTTCTTGACCAATTTCAATGGGGTTTAATTCAAAGTATTTTATTCTCTGGGTTCTTTAATATTCTGAATCAAACCGTGTATTTAGAATCTGGATTTGGGCCCTATTTTTGAATGGTCCATATTAAGGTCTAAAGGGTCCATAATAAACTCTGTTTGATTTCATCAAAAATTGAATTATTGGTGTTCTTTGAAATGCTGAATCTAACCATGTATTTAGATTTTTAATTTTTGGGCCTGTCATCAAATTTTTTCCACATTAAGATCCAAAGGGTCCAAAATTGAACTTTGTTTGGTATTAAAAATTCTTGGGGTTCTTTGATATGCTGAATCTAAGCGTGTTTTTAGATTTTTGATTTTGGGCACAGTATTCAAGTTGGTCCAAATTCGGGTCAAAATTAAACTTTGTTTGATTTCATCAAGAATTGAATTATTGGTGTTCTTTGATATGCCCATCTAACAGTGTATTTAGATTTTTGATTTTGGGCCTGGTTTTCAAACTGGTCCACAGTAAGGTCCAAAGTATCCAAAATTAAACTTAGTTTGATTTTAACAAAAATTGAATTCTTGGGGTTCTTTGATATGCTGAATCTAAGCCTATAATTAGATTTTTGATTTTGGGCTCAGTTTTCAAGTTGGTGCAAATTGGGGTCCAAAATCAAACTTTGTTTGATTTCATCAAAAATTGTATATATGGGGTTCTTTGATATCTAACCTTGTATTTAGATTTTCCTCCTGAACATGCATGACATATTTGCCACTGGACGTTAAGCAAACCAAGTGAATCAAAAGATTTTGGATTTTGGGCCCTTGTTATCAAATTGGTCCCACATTGAGGTCCGAAGGGTTAAAAATTAAACCCTGTTTAATTTCATCAAAAATTAAATTGTTGGGGTTCTTTGATATAATGAATCTAACTGTGTATTGAGGTTTGGGATATTGGACCATAATAGGTAAAAGTCCAATTTCAAATTTTCAGTTCTTTGACCACATTCATTCTGTGTCAGGAAACTATGATGTGTCAAATATTTAATCACAATCCAAATTCAGAGCTGTATCAAGCTTGAATGTAGTGTCCATACTTGCCCCAACTGTTCAGGGTTCAACCTCTGTGGTCGTATCAAGCTGCACCCCGCAGAGCATTTAATTATATTTGGGTTTTTGTTGTTGTTAAAGGCTGTACAGTGACCTATAGTTGCTAACATCTCTGCTATTTTGTTTCAGTTGGATAGTTGTCTCATTGGAAATTCTACCATATCTCCTTATTTTATATTAATAGAATAGACACATTTGATGGAGTAAAAATTAAGTTGGTTTAATGTCCACATTACAGCCACAAACAGGATGAAAATTATCTGAATACTGTTAGTTAATTAAAAAAAAAAACAAAGAAAATACTTGAAAATTTTGAAATTTTGAAAAATGGTTACATGTAGGTTTTGAAAGATGTAAAGGTACCTTTAATATTAAAAAATGTTAATTATGATGTCACAGTTGTCTCATAGATATGTTTGATGCAGGTTTTATGCAGAATGGTAATTTTATGCATATTTTTTTCTAAAATAAGATTTTAGCATTAGCTTTTCTGAAAAAAAAAGTTATTTGAATCACATCAGATGACTTAAGAGAAGAAGAAAAAACATTGTCATTTGTTTTATTTCTTACATTAGATCATTAAAGAAAACAAAAAGTCATTTTTTTTCTCTTTCAATAGATGATACCAGCATGTGGTGTTTAAACAGTATGAAACCTATGATATAAATTACACCTGCACAACATGTTTTTCTTCAACAAGTACACATTATTAATTGTCACTGACTTTTATTTTTTAAGAGGACTCTTTACATGGCTGTTAATTAAAACATATGTACCATGAAGTAGTATGTTTATTTTTCCATAATTGAAAATTTGGCGGGAAATGATTTTCTCAAGATTTTTCATTCATTTAACATTGGCACCTTTATTCTTGTATATGTACCATAAAGTGGTATATTTATTCTTCCATATGTTTACTGATATTCATCCATATGTACCATGAAGTAGTATGTTTATTCTTCCATATGTATCATGAAGAAGTATGTTTATTCTTCCATATGTACCATGAAGTAGTATGTTTATTCTTCCATATGTACCATGAAGTAGTATGTTTATTCTTCCATATGTTCCATGAAGAAGTATGTTTATTCTTCCATATGTTCCATGAAGAAGTATGTTTATTCTTCCATATGTACCATGAAGTAATACGTTTATTCTTCCATATGTACCATCAAGCTGTAGTTTGTGGTGAATATCTAAGAGTACTGCTGATGAAAGGTTAGAACTTAGAATTGGTTGATGCCAATTGGTATTCCAAAAACAGATTACTGTAAATTCAGAAATTATTGCGATGTTTTTATTATTGCGAAAAATGCGACAGGGTTATAATCGCAATAATTTAAACTCGCATTTTGAAACTTGTTGAATGAATTAAACAGGATTTTTCTCAATATCGCAAAAATTAAAATCGCATTTTAGGCTAAAATGACAAAATCGCAATAATATATGCACGCAATAATTTCTGAATTTACAGTAATTGATTGATTGATTGGTGATTTAATGCCACTTTCAGCACTATTGTGCTATTTCGTGGCAGTCCAATTTTATTGGTGGAGGAAGCCAGAGTGCCCAGAGAGAATCACAGACCTTCTTCTAAGGGGGGGGGGGGGGGGGGGGGGGGGGGGGGGCTAGGATGAAATTTGAAAAAAAGGCAGGACAGGAGTTTTGAGTAAAAAAAAAAGGCGTGATGAGCAACTTGGCAAAAAAAAAAAGGCAGGATGTCACTTTATGTAAAAAAAGTCAGGATAAACTAATAAAAAAAAGCAGGACCTAATAGAGTGAAAAATAAAAAGGCAGGACAGAGATTACAACTAAAAAACATGCAGGACAATTTTTTTCATCTTAACCCTCCATAAAAATCAAATGGTAGCCTCCTTAGTCGATTTGAGTCTAGAAAAATAGGGAATAAATGTACCAAAGATTATAAAAAATATGCCAAAAAAGCAAAATTTCCCAAAATGACAAAAAAACATAAGATATATGAAAAGACAACAACTAATAAGGCTCCTGGTATGGGACAGGCACATGAACACTTGGCGATATTAAACTATTGTATATTTCAGAATATTGATTGATTTTTATGCGACCACAAAAAAATTTTGCGGTCGTATATTTGTATCCGAAGACACATTGGTTTTCGCACAATAACTTTAGTTTAAGTGAATGGATCTCTATGAAATTTTACCATAAGGTTCAATACCACAAAAGGAAGGTTGGGATTGATTTTGGGGGTTATGGTCCTAACAGTTTAGGAAAGGGGCCAAAAAGAAGCCCAAAAAGGCATTTTTCTAGTTTCCAGACAACAACTTGTGTTTAAGTGTATGGATCTCTCTGAAATTATACCACAAGTTTCCATACCACAAAGGGATGGTAAGGATTGGCTCTAAAGGGTTATGGTTTAAACCATTTAGGAATTAGGGGCAACAAAGGGGGAAAACAAGAGTTTCCTGGTTAATGGACAATTTAAAAGCAGTGTAAGGGAGGTAATCCAAAAACAAAATTGTACAATGTTGGATTACCTCCCTTACACTGCTTTTAAATTATCTATTTAAGACTTTTTTGATGTATTTAAATGGGTAATTATGGTTGCAAACTCCATTGGTAATTTGAATTGAGATTATGACCATATGTTGAGGGAAAGAATATTTTTTTTGGAAAAAGGGGAGGGGGTAAAAAAGAAATTTAAACAAAATTTCTAAATTTCTTCACATATTTTTTTT